GAAGAGGGGCAGGCATGGTGACAGGCACCTGTAATCCCAGCTACTCGGGAGGCTGAGGCACAAGAATCACTTGAACCCAGGAAGTGGAGGTTGCAGTGAACTGAGATCCCGCCACTACACGTACAGCCTGGACGACAGAGTGAGAAAAAAGAAGGGAAGGAAGAAAGGAAGGGAGGGAGGGAGGAAGAGAGGAAGGGAGGGAGGGAGGAAGAGAGAAAGGGAGGGAGGGAGGGAGGAAAGAAGGATGGAAGGAAGGAAGAGAAGGAGGGAAGGGAGGGAGGGAGGGAGGAAACAAGGAAGAGAGGAAGGGAGGAGAATCAACAAAGAAGCACGCCACCCAGTCTGGCCCAGAGCTGAAGTGCCTGCTGGGCTGAAGTCAGGGCTCGCTGTTTCACATGAAACCTCAGTGTGCCCTGAAAATGAACACTAAAATAAGTTTCTTTCTCAACGGTTTCAAAATCTTCTAAACAATAGGTTCAGAGTTTGGGGCCCGGTGGACAGAGGAGGAGTAGCAGGGTCGCTGCAGTGTCTGCAGAGCAGGGTCACTGCAGAGAAGGGCATGACCGCTGAATGGGGAGGCGATCCTGAAGGATTGCGGTTGGAGACTGGTTGGGCAGACAGCCTCAGGGGCCAAAACTCCAGCCCCAGACATGGCCTCCAGCTCTCATCCTGCCGATACCAACCCCAGCTTCTTCCTCATTCTGTGGCCAGCAGGGTCAGGGCCCCGGGTCCTTGGCCAAAGCCCTACCAGGGCAGGGCCTGATGGGCAGAGGCAGGCACCACTGAGAGAGGGGCTTCCCTGAGATGCCTGGCCTGGATCTACCCTGTGGGCAGGTGGGCAGGGAGCAGGTGAAGAATGAGGGGAGTGGGCCCAGTGAGCAGCCCTAGCCTCCCTGCCTGGCAGCACAGCCCCAAAGCCAGCACCCTGGCCCCCAACAGTCTAGCCCAGGCTCAGGTGTCAGCCAGATTCCAGATGTGCCAGGGCAGGCTGAATGCAGGAAAGCCTGTCTCCTCAGCTCTGCCAAGTTGCAGCCAACCTGTGCACTCTTCAGGCAGACTCAGCACTGGAAGAGGCACACAGGCCCCTTGGTCTCTACTCAGCACAGGAATCTCATTCCCAGACTGCCTGAGTTCCTCCAATCCCCAAGAGACAGGGGCCTCCCCACCTTGTAAGGGCCCCCATGCTCTGGCTGTGCAGCTCTGACACAATCAAAGCTACCACTTATCGTGACTAATTACAGGCCAGACATTGTGTCAACCATTGACATGCTTCATTTCACGGTGGCTCCATGAGGCAGGAACCATTCTCACCAGCCCCATTTTGCAGATGGGGCTTGGAGCCTTAAAGAGGCTTTAAAGAGACTTGGTGTCTTGCCTAAAATTCACATGGTCAATACACACACACACACGTATATATTATATGTGCGTGTGTGTGTGTGTATATATATATATATATGTGTGTGTGTGTGTATATATATACACACACAGAGAAAGAGAGAGAGAGAGATGGGGTCTCGCTCTATTGCCCAGGCTGGAGTGCAGTGGCATGACCTCAGCTCACTGCAACCTCTGCCTCTCCAGTTCAAGCTATTCTCCTGCCTCAGTCTCCTGAGTAACTGGGATTACAGGCACGTGCCACCATGCCCAGCTAATCTTTGTATTTTTAGTAGAGATGGGGTTTCACCATATTGGCCAGTCTGGTCTCGAACTCCTGACCTTGTGATCCACCGCCTCAGCCTCCTAGAGTGCCAGGATTACAGGTGTGAGCCACAGTGCCTGGCCTACATATATATATTATTTTCCACCTCTGTTTGATGGGAGGGCCTAGAAGCAGTGACGCCTCAGCAGCAGTAAGCACACCCCGTCTCTAAAATAAAAGGATCACACTCCTTGGAGCACTGAGGCAGGAAAAAATGCAAGACAGTTCCAGAGCATGTTGCAGCACAAGAAAGCAAGGAAATGCTCAAAAAACAGAAGGATGGGGGCGTGTCAAACAGACACAGGAGGTCATCTGAAAGAGTTCCTAGTGGCCAAAGCTGGAACCATCTGAAAAATAAAATAACAGGCTGGGTTGGGTGGCTCACTCCTGTGATCCCAGCACTTTGGGAGGTAGAGGCGGGAGGATCGCCTGAGGTCAGGAGTTCGAGACCAGCCTGGCCAACATGGTGAAATTTCATCTCTACTAAAAGTATAAAAATTAGCCAGGAATGGTGGCACACGCCTGTAATCTCAGCTACTAGGGGGGCTAACGCAGGAGAATCACTTGAACCTGGGAGGCAGAGGTTGCAGCGAGCTGAGATGGTGCCACTGCACTCCAGCCTGGGCAACAGAGTGAGACTCCATCTCAAAAAAAATTAAATTAAAATAACAGTACTGGCCGGGCGAGGTAGCTCACGCCTATAATCTCAGCACTTTGGGAGGCCAAGGAGGGTAGATCACCTGAGGTCAGGAATTTGAGACCAGCCTGACCAACATGGTGAAATCTTTTCTCTACCAAAAACACAAAAATCAGCCGGGTGTGGTGGCACATGCCTGTTTAAGTCCGAGCTACTTGGGAGGCTGAGGCAGGAGAATTGCTTGAACCCAGAAGGTGGAGACTGCAGTAAGTCAAGATGGCGCCATCGCACTCCAGCCTGTGCAACAGAGCAAGGCTTTGTCTCAAAAAAAACCAAAAAACATAGTACTAGATTATAACCCAAAGTATAAAATAATAAATGCATAGGCTGGTACTGATAGAAATGCAGTCATGTCTGCGTAACAGCATTCTATATCGCTGGTCAACAATGGACCACATAGATGACGGTGGTCCCATAAGGTTGCAGTGGAGCTGAAGAATTCCTGTTGTGTGGTGATCTGTGTCACAGCACAGTAACGTGCCTACAGTGTTCAGTACAGTAACATTCAGCGCAGGTTACAAACCTGCAGCCCAGGAGCCGTAGGCTATACCATGTAGCTTAAGTGCATAGCAGGCTCCCCATCTAGGCGCGGGTGACTGCACCCCACGATGGTCTCACCATGACCAAATTGCTAATAGTGCATTTCTTTGAATGTCTCCACCATTAAGCAATGCATGACTGTAAATGACGAGCCAAATAAATGGAAGGAAAAGAACAAATCTTCCTTACAGAAGAATTCCAAATAACCAGTGTAGGTACACACAGTACGTCCCCCACAACTTGAACGTGGGCTCAACTTGCTTCCAAAGAACAGAGTTTGAAAAGGGGGCAGGCGTGGTGGCTCACCTCAACCTCATGGGAACCTGAGGTGAGTGGATTGTTTGAGCCCAGGAGTTCAAGACCAGCCTGGGCAACACAGTGAGACCCCATCTCCATAATAAATAAAAATTAAAAATTTGGCCAGGCACAGTGGCTTGGTGGCTTATGCTGAAAACCCAGCACTTTGATTTTTTTCAGACAGCGTCTCGCTGTGTCGCCCAGGCCGACACAGGTGATCTGCCTCAACCTCCCACAGTGCTGGAATTACAGGCATGAGCCACCATGCCTGGGCCAGGCTGAGGAGGGTGAATTGTTTGAGACCAGAAGTTCAAGACCAGCATGGGCAACATAATGAGACCTCTTCTCTATAAAAAACAAAAATTAAAAAATTGGCTCACACATGTAATCCCATCACTTTGGAGGCCAAGGCAGGCAGATCACTTTAGCCCAGGAGTTCAAGGTAAGCCTGGGGAACATGGCAAAACCCCATCTCTACCAAAAAAAAAAAAAAATTTAGCCAAGTGTGTGACATGTGCCTCTGGTCCCAGCTACTTGAGCTCAGGAGGCTGAGATGGGAGGATGGCTTGTGGCTGGGAGGCGGAGGTTGTACTGAGCCATGATTGTATCACTGCACTCCAACCTAGGCAACTGAGCCAGACCCTGTCTCAAAAAGAAAGCAAGAGAAAGAGAGGGAGAAAATGAGGGAGGAAGGGAAAAAACAAAGGAAGAAAGAAAGAGAAAAAAGAAAGAAGGAAAGAAGGAAGGAAGGAAGGAAAAGAAAGGAAGAAAGAAAAGAAAGAAGAAAGAGGAAAAAGAGAACTTCATAAAAGGAAAACCTGGCAGACACCATCTTCACCAAGTCACCAAGGCTAGCATTGCCAGAGATGAGTCACAGGGACATTGTGTGCCTCCTGGCATCACGTGATGAGAAGTGCATTTGATTTACCTCTGTGGTATTCCTCCCCAAACCCATAACTCCTGGCTAGTTATGAGGAAAACATCAGATATACCCAAACTGAGGGCTAGTCCACAGACTAGAACTTCCCAAATTGTCAAGGTCATGAAAACCAAGGAAACACTGAGAAACTGTCACAGACCGGCGAAGACTAAGACGCGGCAACTGAATGCAATGTGGGATCCTGGAACAGCAAAGAACATTAGTGGGAAAGCCGGTGAAATCTGAATCAAGTCTGAAGTTCAGTTAATAGCAACATGTTGGTTTCTTACTTTTGACTACTGTATTGTAGTCTCAAAAGACGATAAGAATGGGGGACATCGTTAAAGGGGTGGATGGAACTTTCTGTACTATTGTTGCAATTGTTTTATAAACCTAAAAGTATTACAAAACAAAAAGCTCATTTTTTAAAATCACATGGGGCATAGATGTCAGAAGCAGAATACAAATTCCAGGCTGGGCCAGGGCCTCCAGAACTGAGAGAAGAAAATATTGTTTTAATTCACTCCGTTTTTGATAATTTTGTTATAGAAACCACAGGAAACAAATACAAGAACTAATCAAATCTCTTTAATGTTTAAGCCTGTTCGTATCTGACATTTTGTTACTTGCAGCTGAAAGCAGCCTAGCTGATACACAGTCGTCCTCCTGCCCCTGGTCACCGTCTTACAGCTCAGAGGCCAACTCCAGAGAAAGGCAAAGCCCCAGTTTGGAGCCAGCTCCTAGCTCAAGCCAGAGCATCAACCCTCTTCCTGGTCCTCAACTCTCCTGATGTCTAGCTGGGAAAACAGGACTGCCGGGATGGGGACAGGATCAGATGGATCACCGACTCCAAGCAAAGGCATGAGAGTTTATTTACAGACAAGACACAGCAACCAGCACCCACTCAGGTTCCGGCCAGGGGAGGTGGTAGACAAAACCCCAGATATACATAAATATATATTGGTCCCAGCACGACCAGCACCAGGACATTCCCCAGCCAGGTCCCTGCCTGGGGAAGGACCAAGAGTCAGGCAGGATTGAGGGCGCAGAATAGGGAGGGCCCCAGTCCCTGCCAGGTATCAGTGGTCTCCTGTTATGGTCCCCATGTCGGAGGAAGAAACTGCCCTTGGCTTTGAAGTGTGGATACTGAGGAACATGAGGACAAAGAGACCCCTAGAGGCACCCCCATTCCTGTGTCCAGCCTATGCCCTCAATGTCAAGGCCACAGAAGCGAAGTGCCAGCAGCAGCAGCTTGGGGAGCAGTGGAGACACTGCAGGCCCCTCCAGGACCATCCAGGAGCTGGGAATGGAGGTGGGGTCCCAGGCCATGGCTGCCCCTCACACAGGGGCCTCCCCCAGTTTGCTGGTGGCACTCGTGACTCGCTTATTCTCACGGAGGTTTCGGAGGCGGGCACTGAGGCTGCTGATCTCTTCCACGTAGGCCTGGGGCACCCACCCCTTCTCACCATCTGCCAGGCGGACCCCTTCCAGCCAACCTAGGGACACACAGGCCAAGAACAACATCATCAAAGGGGTACCAGTCAGGCCTGGAAGGAAACACCTCAGCCCTGATGCAAGCTTTGTCTGCACCCTTGGGGCCAAAGTGACATCACCTCAGCATCTCCTAGCTCCAGGAAGGACCCTGTCTCTAGTTGTCTTGTAGATGAACTTCTGACCTATTTATCCTGATATCTGAAAGGGTATTTCCCACTTTCCTCCATCGTTCTCAATCTTATATCTTTACAAGCAGGAAGTTCCTCCGCTTGTCTAACCTGATTTCCACATGCTGTGGCAGATCAACACTTGCATAACCCTTCCCTGTGATGTCTTAGCTGTCTAGCTGTCTCCTGCCCACCCAAGCCCCATCAGGGAGACTTTCCCAGAAGACTTCTCACCGTCACTGGTCCAAGTCCTCACTGCCAGGATGTCTGTCTTCTCCAAGGTCAGCTCATCCGGCTGCAGTGCCTTGTATGTCCTAACACACTGAACCTGGGGACGATCTGACAGCCCAGGGGAGGCTCAGGGAGTTCCAAGGGCAGGATGGGCAGGGACAGGAGCATGGGTAGGGCAGGGAGAGGCAGCAGGAGGAAGTAAGTGGATGGGAAGGTGGCCACTGAGGCTTTTATTCCTCTGCCACTCCCATGCCACAGGCCTATGTTCAAGACAGGGGTGCCTTCTGCCCACCCTGACCTATCTCCTCTCCTACCCGAAACACAAGTGCGGGATGAATCCTCCCAGCTTCGGTTTCTGCCTCTATACCAGGGACTTTCCCCTCTTCAGCTCAAGCCAACACCTTGCTTTTTTTTTTTGAGACGGAGTTTCACTCTTTTTTTTTTCCCTTCTCATTTTTTAGCCCAAAGTTTTACCTGTTTGTTGTAAAAACGAGTTTCACTCTTGTTGCCCAGGCTGGAGTGCAATGGTGTGATCTCCACTTACCACCACCTCCATCTCCCAGGTTCAAGCAATTCTCCTGCCTCAGCCTCCCAAGTAGCATTCCCCACCATACCTGGCTAATTTTTGTATTTTTAGTGGAGACTGGGTTTCACATGTTGGCTGGGCTGGTCTGGAACTCCTGATCTCAGGTGATTGCCCACCTTGCCTTCCCAAAGTGGTAAGATTATAGGCCCAAGCCATCGTGCTGAGCCCAACACCTTGCTTTTGACCTTCAGACCCCAACATCCAACTGCCCCCAGATACCTCACACAAAACAGTAATGGCCCTGCAATATGCCCCTAATGTCGCTCTGGTGCTCCCTACGGTCCATCCTTCCCAACTGGGATTCTAGCCCTCCAGGGCTTCCCACTCCTCTTAGAATAAAATCCAAACTCCACTAAAAAAAAAAAAAAAAAGAAAATGAAAAAGAAATCCAAACTCCTCCCTAGGCCCCACAAGGCCCTTCACGGTCTGGCATCACCCCCTGCTAATCTCTGCTTCTTCCCTCAACTTTCTCTCCCTATTCGCTCAAAAAGCTCCAGCCACATCAGCCTCCCTGCTGTTCCTCACTCTAAGCTCCCTCCTGCCCCAGGGCCTTTGCACTGTCTGTTCCTTCTGCCAGATGCTCTTCCCCAGATCTTTTCATGACAACCTCTCCTCATCCTTCAGGGGTCAGATGTTAATTCCCAGGGACCTCCCCTGACCACCTGGGAGCTCAGCCCCAGCCCAGGTGGGACTCCTAGCTCAAGCCAGAGTGTCGACCCCCTTCCTGGTCCTCAGCTCTTTCCATTAGACAAGGTGGGCTGGTAGCATCAAAAGCCACAGACTGGGGGGCCAGACCTGGCTTGAATCCCAGTTCTGTCACTTACTGGCTGTGTGACCTAGAGCAATTTTCTTTACCTTCTGAGTCAAGGTTTTCTCAGATATGAAAAATGAAGCTAGGCGTGGTGGCTCATGCCTGTAATCCAGGCATTTTGGGAGGCCAAGGCGGGCAGATCACAAGGTCAGGAGATCAAGACCATCCTTGCTAACACAGTGAAACCTCATCTCTACTAAAAATACTAAAAATTAGTTGGGCTTGGTGGTATGCACCTGTAGTCCCAGCTACTCGGGAGGCTGAGGCAGGAGTATTGAAACCGGGAGGCAGAGGCTGCAGTGAGCTGAGATCTCGCCACTGCACTCCAGCCTGGGCAACAAAAGAGATAAGGAAGGAAGGAAGGAAGGAAGGAGGGAAGGAGGGAAGGAGGGAAGGAGGGAAGGAGGGAGGGAAGGAGGGAAGGAGGGAAGGAAGGAGGGAAGGAAGGAAGGAAGGAGGGAAGGAAGGAAGGAAGGCAGAAGAAGGGAGGAAGGAAGAAGGGAGGGAGGGAGGGAGGAGGGAGGGAAGGAGGGACAGTGAGTCTACCTAGTAGGGTTGCCATGAGGATTAGATTAGAATTAACGCAAATATAAAGCCCCTAGCCTTGGGCCTGGCCTATGGCAGATACTCAGTGGGACGAGTTCCTGTTCTTTCCCTTTACTACCTAAAGCTCAGCTCTAACTCCTCTGCTCAAAAGCCTCCAATAAGGCCAGGTGCGGTGGCTCACGCCTTTAATCCCAGCACTTTGGGAGGTTGAGGCAGGTGAATCACTTGAGGCCAGGAGTTCGAGATTAGCCATGGTCAACATGGCAAAACCCTGTCTCTACTAAAAATACAAAAATTAGCTGGGTGTGGTGGTGGGCGCCCGTAATCTCAGCTACTCGGGAGACTAGGGCAGAAGAATCATTTGAACCCAGGAGGCGGAGGTTGCAGTGAGCTGAGATCACACCACTGTACTCCAGCATAGGCAACAGGGCAAGACTCTCTCTCAAAAAAAAAAAAAAAAAAAGTCGGGCACAGCAGCAAGTGCTTGTGATCCCAGCTGCCACTAGGGAGGCTAAGGCATGAGAATTGCTTAAATTCAGGAGGTGGAGGTTGCAATGAGCCAAGATTGCACCACTGCACTCCAGCCTGCGGTACAGAGTGAAACTGTGTAGGCCCGGCACGATGGCTCATGCCTGTAATCCCAGCACTTTGGGAGGCTGAAGGAGAGGACTGCTTGAGCCCAGGAGTTTGAGGACAGCCTGACCCACATAGCAAGACTCTGCCTCTACAAAAAATAAAAATTAGCCAGGTGCGGTCATGCATACCTGGGGTCCCAACTACTCAAAAGGCTGAGGCGGGAGGATCGCTTGAGCTCAGGAGGTTGAGACTGCAGGGAGCCATGATCACGCTACTGCACTCCAGCCTGGCAACACAGCAACACCCTGTCTCAAAAAAAAAACCCAAACCAACCTTCAGCAGCTCCCGAAGGCCACTCTAGGAAGGCTCTCTATGATCAGGTCACGCCCTGGCTTACCAGCCTCACTTCACACCCAGGGAGAACCCTTTATTCCCACTGGGAGATCCCTCTTCACCTGCCACCACCACCCTCACCACCCCTCACACTCTGGCTCCGCTGCTTCTTGTCCTGTTTGCAGCTGACGCAAAGACAGAGACAGGCCCAGGCTCTGCTCTCAGCTCTGCTGCTTACTGAGTGAACGTATGCAAGTCCATTTATCTCTGAACCTCTCTTCTAACTTGTAAAACGGGGGTGAAATGGGATGATATGAGGCTTTGTGGATACAGAATCTACCTGTGCTATGTAAGTCCCGCCCAGCCTTCGAGGTTCCTCAGAGTTACCTCTGACTGCCCCAGGCATTAATCTCTCTCCCCACAGCCCTGCCAGAAACACAGCACCAAGGATAGGAGGGAGGGAGGGAAGGCTACGGTGCAGCCCAGGGATGTAACCAGCGGGGTTCAGCTACTACCTTCCCCCTCACTGATGACCTCCTTGTCCTCCTGGGGGCTGGAGGGGCACAAGGCTGAGATCCATCGCTGCTTCTCACTTCTAGGGAAGGGGGAGGCTGAGCTGTTACAACACGCAAGGTGCAGTTGCCCAGGGCAGGGTGCTGAAACCAGGGCTGGGGGAGCTGGGCATGATGTCCAGGCCCAGGACCCAGGTCATGTCTGCCCTACCCCGGGGCCCACCCCTCAGCACTGTTCCCAAGCCTGTGCTCCACCCAGCTCTGAGTATAACAACAGACCCAGAACCCCTGATGCCAGCCCTGCCTCCATCCTGCCTAATGCCATGATCCTTAAGCCAGAGATAGCAGGATAGAGAGGTTTACATCCAAGAGATACCCAGGGGCTGAGGAGGAGGTGGCAGCCCCGCAACACCACTTGTGGGGCAGGATCCCCTGCTCTGGCCTCCAGCCCTGCCCTCTGCCCCTGTGTCCTGCCCAAGTCAGGGAAGAGCTGGGCACTTGGGGATGATCAAGGCCAGGATGTCACGAGGGTGCCCGTCCTGGGGAGGGGCCTCCTCTCTCCCCACACCCAGGCCCACTCACTCCGTCCGGGCCCTCAGCAGGAACTGGTGCTTTGTGTGCTGCCCATGGAGGAGCTGGAGGAGGAACACGTGGCCAGGGATGCCCTGCAGCTTCAGGCTCAGGTCCCGCACCTGCAGCTCGGCCATCTTGGCATGGACGAAAACGGCAAACTTCCCTAGCCTGGAGGACCAGGGGAGGGGAGGTCAGCCTGCCCTGGCCCCCGACTCTGGGCATCCACCATAGGGACCTGGTGGGTTCTGACTGGAAGCAGGGAAAAGTGGGTGCCTGCCCCGCCAGCTTCTCACAGTGTCCTGCTTCTGGATAGGGCACTGTTCTCCTAGCAGCTGGCAAAGTCCCCACAAGGAACCAAGAGTTCCTTCCCTGCTGGCTTGCTGGCGGAGGCTGGAGGTACTGGAAACCAGTCCCTGGGTCCCAAGCACACTTTCAACCTCTCTCTCTTTTTCTGTTGTTTGTTTTTGTTATTTGTTTTAAGACAGAGTCTCACTCTGTTGCCCAGACTGGAGCACAGTGGCACGATCTCGGCTCACGGCAATCTCTGCCTCCTGGGTTCAAGCAATGCACGACCACTCTTGAAACCTCTCCCAAGTGCTTGTTCCAAAGAGCCAACTGGACAGCCCCCTGCAGAGTACCTGCCTCCCTCCAGTATATACACCCCATGAATGCTGAGCCTTGTCTCTCTGCTACTGTGGCTCAGTGTCTGACACTGCTCAGCCCACAATTTGGGCTCAGTAAGTACTTGTAGGCGGTGAGTACTCAGTACTCAGTAAGTACTTGTAGGCCGGGTGAATGGATGGCTGGAGGGTGTTCTTTTTTTTTTTTGAGACGGAGTTTCACTCTTGTTGCCCAGGCTGGAGTGCAATGGAGCAATCTAGGCTCACCGCAACCTCCACCTCCTGGGTTCAAGCAATTCTCCTGCCTCAGCCTCCTGAGTAGCTGGGATTACAGGAGCGCATGGGTGGAGGGTGTTCTACGGATGTCAACCTGTTCAACAAAACTCAACATCAAATAAAAAACTCAGCTTCTCCCACTCCAAACCAGACCCCCTTCACTGTTCTCCATTCCAGTGAAAGACGCCACCAGTTTGCCCACGAAGAAACTCAGACGTCATGCTCACCTCTTCCCTTTCCATCCCCCCTGCACCTACCTTGTAGCTATGACCTGTCTTTCCCCCTTATCGTCCCTGGAATCCACTTATCCTGAAGCACCCTGCCACTTCTGGAGCATCTATGCTCTCCTGGGCAGCTGCGAGACCCTCGGGCCTCTCCCCTTCCAGTTCATCCTCCAAATTGGCCAGAAGCAAAAACATCATCCTTCTGCTTAACTCTCTATGGTCCCTGCTGCCTCAGAAAAAATCCAGCCTCTCTACCATGACCTTCAACATCCCAACTTCCCTCTGCTGCCCTGTCTCCTTTACAAATGCAGCCACATTAGGCTTCATTCCCCAAACACACTCCGCTCTTCTACACTGCCATGACTGCTGTACTCCTCTACTCAAGCTACCTCTCTACCTGGAAAACTCCTACTCATCCTTCAAAACACAGCTCAAATGTCCCTCTATGAAGCTTTACTGATTCTCACCCCACACCAGGAACTACCAGAGTACACCCTTCCATGAAAACCCTGATGATGTGTTTATCAGGATGTATTTTTCACTGGTCTGAAAACAAGTTTCATTCATATTTTGTCCCTAGCACTGGCCTGCTACAGAACAGAGACTCAAAAAAAAAAAAAAAAAAAAAAGAACAGAGACTCAGTGACAATTTACTAAATGAAGAAACAAATCAAAAATGAATTCTTCTTAGGCCAGGCGTGGTAGCTCACGCCTATAATCCCAGCACTTTGGGAGGCCGAGGCAGGTGGATCACGAGGTCAAGAGATCGAGACCTCGTCTCTACTAAAAATACAAAAATTAGCTGGGCATGGTGGCACGCACCTGTAGTCCCAGCTACTCGGGAGGCTGAGGCAGGAGAATTGCTTGAACCCAGGAGGCGGAGGTTGTGGTGAGCCAAGATCGTGCCATTGCACTACAGTCTAGGTAACAACAGCGAAACTCCGTCTCAAAAAAAAAAAAGAAAGAATGAACTCTTCTTATAGCATAACATGTTCATCTTTTTTTTTTTTTAAAGAGATGGGGTCTCACTATGTTGCCCAGGCTAGTCTTGAACTCCTGGACTCAAGGTATCTTCCTACCTTGGCCTCCCAAAGTGCTGGGATTACAGGTGTGAGCCACCATGCCCGCCTCACGTGTTCACCCTTTATCCCATTCATCTTATCCAGGAAGTCTTCTGCCTCACCCCTCACTTATAAGCACAGCTAATATTGAGCGAGTGCTTACTGTGAGCCAGACACAGTGCTGCCATCAGACAGAGCTGGCCTCCCCCAGCTCCCCTACCTGCTAGCTAGCTCCATGATCTGACAGAGAAGCCTATTTCCCAGGGATGTATTTGGAGGATTAATGGGAATAATCCACATAGCATGCCTGGCGCAGTGTAGGTACTGAGTAAATGTTGGCTGCTTGCATAGCTACGACTCAGGGCAGAGCTGGGACTGCAGGGCCATGCTCATAGTCTCTGCTCTAACTGGCTGAAGCTCACAGCAGCTCCAAGTCCTCAGCACACAGTCTAACCCTTGATTCTCCCTTCTGGAACATCTTTGCCTTTACTTCAGGAGCCTCCACCAAAGCCCAGGGTGCCCTGGCATCACACCCTGGCATAGGCAGGGGCTCCCAGGCCCAGTGGTAGGGAGAAAGAGAGCCTGGCTCCAGTTTACCTCCCCACCCCGGACTGCCCTGACTCACTCCTTCCGCCGGGAGAGCAGCAAGCAGTCATTAAAGAGGTGTAAGTAGACGGCCTTGCTGGACAGCTTCAACTTGGCAGGGGGTGCTGCAGGCAGTGGTGCCAGCTCGACCAGCTCCCCGTGCCGAACCAGCCAGCGGGCCTGAGAGATCAGCGGGAAAATCTAGAAGGATGGAGTAGAACGGGTCAGGCCCGGGGCACCAGGCAGAAAGCACAGGAGGGCAGATGGGAGGGTGTGGGCATCGATGAACTGGCCTGAAGACCCCAGGGCAAGCAGGAAACAAGAGCTGCCGCTTGGGGTGCCCATCCCACTGGCTGCAGACACACACCTTGCCCTCAAAGTGGATCTTCTTGCTCAGGTGGATGAGTTCCTCTGTCCTCTTCATGGACTGCACGCTAGCATTGCATTCCTGCACCAGCTGTGGGGGGGTTGTGGGGAGGTCACTTGTAGCCCCTCAGCCCTGGCTCCCAGAACCCAGCCTCAGACTCTCGCCTGGGGACTGGAGACTCTGACAGCTAGGGGCTGTTTTAGAGACAAGCTGGGGGTCTGGGGAGCCTCAGGAGCCAAGCAGCCCCTGCCCTGCCCAGCCCAGCTCACCTCCTTGAGCGCGTTGAAGGCCTTAGTGGCCATGTCTTCGTCTTCAGAGCCCTGTGCTGTCCGCTTCAGGATGTTCTGGAAGGTGGGATCGACACAGTGTGGCAGGCCTCATGCTCCCCCGAGAGCTGGCCCACCCCTCGCCCAGCCCTCACTGCAGCCTGTGCCCTTGAGGTACCTCCACCAACATCTTGAGGCGAGTGATCCTCTGGAAAGGTAGGATGAGGAAGGAGGTAAGGGGCAGTCGCTGGCACACAGGGGACTCCTCGAGGCGAGCCAGGATGCCAGGGAACCTGGGGTTCTCCAGGCTGGAAAACAGGAAGGGCTCTGGAATCACAGGTGGGCCTGAACTCCTGAGATTCACGACCCTGGCCATCCACGGGGTCCTCAGGTGCCTTCTCAGCACATCCTTACTGCCCCTTGGGGTCATATCTCACCTTATCCTGGTCACAGAGACCCTTTCAGGGACCCCCTCCCCTCCCACAGTCACCTTGCATGACCCAGTCCTCAATGCCTGCACCTGCCTGAGACTCCCTCCACGCCCCCGCCCCTTTCAGAGCCCCCAGCCCTACAGCAGACGCTGGTAGGTGCGCTCTTGGTAAGCCTGGTTGGTGACATAGGGCAGGTAGACTCGGCGGAAGGCCGGGCAGTGCTCCAACACCACGTCGCACACGCTGAAGCGCAGCACATCTGCCTCCAGCCGCTGCTCCAAGTCCTGCAGGAACCTGAAGGGTCAGAGACAGGCTGGAGACCCCAGATCTGGGAGCCGGCCAACCACAGGCTCAGTCTCCACCCAGGGCCAGCCAGACTACTTCCTCACCTCTCGCTGGTGCTCTTGACCTCGGGCAGTTTAGAAAATAGCCACTGCTTGTCCTGTGCCCCCAGACACTCGCTCAGCTCGGCAGAGCCCAGGAAGTGGCCCACAGCCACCGAGAGGCTGTGGATGTAGGAGGCCTCGGACGTGATCAGCTCAAACTTGGCCTGAGGAAGGGCGCACACGGGGTCGAAAGGGCCGGGCCAGTTCACCTCGGAGGCCCTGGCCTCGCATCCCCCGCCCCAGAACGCCACCTCTTTAGACACAGCCACACCTCGCGTCCTCGCCCCTGCTCTAGTCCCACTCCTAATCTGGCGCCGGGCGGGCCAGACGACCCACCTCCCGCCGCGGGCAATTGTGCAAGCCCAGGTCAAGCCGTCGAACCTGCCCCTCCCCTTATCCCCGCCCACCTCAGGTCCCGCCCCTCCCCCGCCTCTTCCCTTGCCCACCAGGCGTCTGCGCTCCGAATGGCTCCGCCCCTCATCCGGCCCTGCCCTATCCTCGGCTTCGTCCCACTGGCTCCGCCCCACACCCGCAACCATCCCCGAGCCCCCGGCTCCGCCTCGCTTCCAGACGGCCTAGAGTAGTCAGGTCCTAGCGCCCACGCTTCACTCTGACAGTCGCGCCAGCACCTCCTTTCTGTGTCCCCCTCCCTCTAATGCCCGGGTTCCCGCTAAGTCCCCGGACCGCGTACTCCCGGCCCGCCCCGCCCCGTCGGGCCCCGTTGTGCGCCCACCTCCTGCAGCTTGCAGTCCCGCAGGCTCAGCGTGGCCAGGACGCCGCTGCCGCGCACGTCGGGGATGTCTTGCCACAGCGAGAAGGTGGAGCCTCGCGCCGAGCGCTGAGCCCGGAAGGAGCTGCTGGGGGAGAGGTTGGCGCGCGGCGGCCCCGGCCCCTCCTCTGAGCTCTCGGCCTCGTCCCCCGGGCCCTCCTCCTCCCGCTGCTGCCGCCGCAGTTCGCGGGCGCTGGCCACGTCGCTGTATTCCTGATAGAGGACGGCTGGGGGGAAGACGGGAGGGCGAGGACCGTGGGGCGCCCGCCAGCCCCTGCCTGGCTCCTCCCCGGCTGCCCCAAGTCCCGGCGTCACTTAACCTTTGCCGCCCTTCGGATATCCGGACACAGTGAATTAATTAATTCATTCATTACATAAACAAATTGAGCACCTACTGCGTGCTAGATACCGAGAGTTACATTCTCGGTTTCTCACTCCATCTCTACCTCCCAACTCTGCAAACCCTGTTACCTCCTCCCTGGACCCCCTCCCACGTACAGTTAACACGTACAATTAAGGAGGAATCGAGACTGGCGCCGCTCGTTGGTGCTCCTGGACCCCAAAGGCAGCTCTTCCTGCATGTCCAGCCTAGGAAAGAGAGTGTCATGGCCCTTCTTCACCTGCACCCCGTCTCGGACCCAAGACCCAAGCGGGAGATGGTACCTGGGCTCGTGCCAACCACCATGGCCCTCTCTTGAGTCATCAGGGGCTGGCTGCGACACGCTGTCCCCACTCGTCTCTACACTTCGCCCCTCCATTCCTGACGCTTTCCCTGGAGAGGGCGAGAACTGAGGGTGAGGAGTCCAGAGACTGGCCCCAGTCCCTGGCCCTGGCACCCTGACGGCCTCAGGTGGCTGGTGAGTGGGCATCCCCCACCCCTGCCCAGCATCTGGCTGCTCTCAGGGCCCATGGGAGGAGCTGGTACCTTCCCGGACTGCTCCGGTGCCTGAGCCGGAGATCAGTGCCCTGGCTGCTGAATTCCGCCCCAGGCGCAGAGAAGAGTGCAGCCGGGTCATCAGCTCCGAGGCTGAGAATCGCCTCCGCTCAGGACCCTCAAGGCTCACTCGGGTGGACCCAGACAGTTCCAGCGATCTAGGCTCCTCTGTGCTCAGGGCCTGCTCTTGCACTACCTGGCCAGGCTCCAGGAAGACAGGGTGGGCCTCAGGGCAGCCGGGGACCTCTTCACGCTGATACACCCGCATCTTGCGCCCTAGAGTTGGGGAGACAAGGTGTGAGAGCATGGTCTGGGGTCTCCCCCAACCTCCTCCCTGCTGCTGCCCTGGCCCTGAGCACCTGGGGAGGTTCAAGCACCATGTCCAAGGAAAAGGGCCTGTGTTTCTGCTAGCATCTGGTTCCCATGGGGGTCCACGAGAGGGGTAAGGAGAGCACAGGGCCTGACTGCAGTAGGCAGAGGGGCCAGACTGCCCAGGATGGTGACTCCCTCACTGCATAACCTTGGACAGGTCACTTGCCTTCCCTGAGCCCTGCTAGTCTCCTTATCACTAAAATCTACCACTTGTCCTGACTTTTGGGGGAACCTGGGGACATAAAGATTAAGGAGCTGCCCAGCACCTCCCCTATCCACCCCACTGTGGCACCCACACCCGCCTCCCCCAGGGTGACTCACAGGCAGACTTCTTCTCTGAGCCATGGCTGGCCCGGCGCTGTGGCTGTGGGTGCTGGGGACCCCAAGGTCCCTCCAGAGCTGGGGGCGGGGCACCAGGACAGTGCGGCCAGCTGCCAGCCCTGCTGGGCCGCATCCCCCCACTGGAGATCTCTGTATCTGAGCCTCCTGGGGATGATGGCCATAGCAACCCTTGGAGAGGGGCAGGGGTCCCCAGGGACCAGCGGCTGCCAGGAGCCCGAAGCTCCTCTGGGGCCACAGGGAAAAGGTCCAGACACACTGGGCTTGGGGGCTTCAGGGAGGGCAGCTCTGCAAAGGACAGACTCTCCTGCTGACACACGGCTACAGGGCGGCAGGCAGTGCCAGGTGGCCCAGCCAGGTGGGGCTGGAGGGTAGCAGGTGGCCCACAGTCCATTCCTCCTTTGCTCTGCCACCCACCTGGGCCTGCAGAAGAGAAGATATCAGACCCAGACAGAGGATAATGGGGCTGGCCAGTCAGCCACTCCCCCTGGAGGCCTGGACAAACCCCTGTGTACACTTGAGGGCACGCATCTGCACATACACTCACATGTCTAGTTATATAGGAATAGCTGACACCTGCTTGGCATTGCCTGACTGATAGGCCAAGCACTTTACACATCATATCTCATTTAGTCCTCATAACAACGCTGTGAGTTGATGCTCTTACTATCCCCATTTTATAGGTGGGGAAAGTGAGGCACAGAGAGGTTATTTGGTAAATGGTCGAGGCAAGATTCTAACCCGGCCATTCTAGCTTTCAAATCCGTGCTTTTAACCACCTTGTACCTTCTCCAACGCACACTGACATGTCACCAGACATGCAGATACATACATTGTCACACAAATCCATGTCCCAATGTATACATCCACACTACATTTTCTCCCAAGTATAGAATGACACGTACATGTTCATAGACACAGACTTCAAACTTGGGCTCACACATTCACAGACACACTTTTTTACACGACCACATACATTCACACAGACACTTCTTCACAAACACACTGACCCGTCCGATATTTACACAGGCACCCATGATTTCTCAACCTCCTGTTCCCTTCACACGCACACCCAGGATGCACACACACCAGCCCGCAGGTCCTTGCTTTGATGTTTCTTCCCCCCCACCCCGACCCTCACCCAGAATTATGGCCTTCAGCCCTGAGTGGTGTCCACACCCATGCCAAGCTGGCTGGGAGGATCACAGACTGGCAGGCGGGCCACTACCCAGTCGGGGGCTCTCCCGGAGAAGTTCAGGGAGATGCCCCAGCCCCCAGGATTGGAGTGAAAGAGGGGTTATTCACCACCCCAGCTTCCAGCCCTGGGTGGCCAGGCTGGATGGGTCCTTTCTGGGCGGGATGTTATCCCTGGGAGGCAGCTTCCCGATCAGGACAGAGCTGATGATCTGAGAGGCCCAAGTCCCTGAAGCCCTTTGCCCTGTGGCCCTCCACCAGCCTCCCTCCTGCAGCCCCTCACCTCTCCAGGCCCAGGCCCGCTTGCTGATGCTGTTTGGCTCTCCGGCAGGGGAAGCCCTCTCTTTGCCCAGCCGGCTGGGGGAGATCCCACCCAGACAAAGAGTTTGATTCATCAAACCCTGTGGTGAGGCAAGCAGGGAGAGAGGGAGGGAGCAGGCAGCGGGCTGGGCGGGGGCCTACCCTAGCGTGGCCTCGCTGTGGGCAGGCCAGGCAGCCAGGACCCCCCAGAGGCCCCCTCAGGCCAAAGGGGCAGTGCCCAGCCTGGCAGGACCAAGAAAGCCAGGAGATGAAGACTGAGAGAGACCTAGAAAAACAGAGACCAGTTAGCCAGCAACCCAGAAACCAAGACCCCAAAACACTCAAAAACAGAAAAACCACAGATGCTGAGACATTCAGGGACCCAGAGATGGAGACAGAGACACTGACAATTTCAGACCATCCAGATCCTCAGAGACACAGATGAAGCCCAGAAAAACCCAGGGAGGCAGATGGACAAACATGTCATGCCCGTGGGCTGCCAGTCTAGTGGAAGAGCCAAAAACGAAAACAGTTAAAATCCACATTGGCAAGAGCCAAGCCAGAGGAACCATCAGAGGAGGGTGCTGGGCTCAATTCAACCTGGATATTCCAGGAAGACTTCCTGGAGGAGATCATAGGTAACTGCTCCACGGCTGAAATACCTAGTGCACTTACAGAGAAAGCCTTGGCCTGAACAGCAATAGTCTCAGTCGCTGCTGAAGGCAGGGAGGGAAAAGAGGACCCAGTGAGAGATGGCTCCGTCTGTGGCAGGCCCCAGTCTCTGCACAGCTTCTCAACTGCTTCTCCCTGCTCCCTTCACCCCCACCACCTGGGAGGGTGGGAAGAAGGGGACAGGTGCTCCAAAGGGGCCCTCTCTACAGTGGCCATTCTGGCTTGTCCCGTCAGCCTCTGTCCCTCTAGCCTGAAGAGTGCCCATTTGAGCAAGTCTTCCTAAGCCTCGGTTTCCTCATCTGGTAAATAAGGTAGTATTTTTATCAGTCTTTCTCTAGACAGAAGGCAGCTCAGTCCTTTACATCAATGGGGAAGAGGAAGGAGCAGAGCGAGGCTGAGACAGACATTACATTGCAGGAATGTACGGAAGGAGGCCCCTGCCCGCATACAGGTCTCTTTCTCTGCAGGAATCAGGAGTCCTCGACACACAAGTCCTGCTTGCTTCTGGGGGCACTCACATGCAGCATGTACACAGACCCCCTACCCCCTTGTATTTTGGGAGATTCTTGCATTTGGGTTCTGGAAGTCCCTGGAAGGCAGGGAGGGACCCTTCTTCCCATCATTTGCAGGGGTAAGTAAGCAGAACATTGAGGCAGGGAGGGACCCTTCTTCCCATCATTTGCAGGGGTAAGTAAGCAGAACATTGAGGCTGTGCAGCAGGGGCACCCCCAGTGAAGGCCTCGGAGAAGGCCAGGTGACTGTGTGGAGAGGGGACGTACAAGGCTTCCTGGAGAGATGAAGCTGGAGACAGGTCCCCAGCAGGGAAGTCAGGAGTGTGTCAGCCTCCACCTATGCTCAGGCCAAAGGGAATGAGAATGACCCATCTAGCTGCAATGCCAGCCCTGCGGCCCTCCAGGGATCTGGGCCACCCAACCTCAATGTTGGAGAGCTAAGAGGGATAAGCTGGGTTCTTATTATGTGTGGCTCATCTCTGTTGGAAAAAGCAAACGAAAACCTCAGAAAGAGAACTGGCCCAGACAGCCAGGACATGACCTTCCCAAGGCATGATCTCTGGATAGAGACTCTAGTGTCTACTAGGCAAGGGCCATTGTGGAGCCTGAAGAGAATAACCCCCACCCAAGTTCCTAGGCCCAGTGTTGACACTGACCAGCTGTGTGGCCATAGGCAAATCATAGCCCATCCCGTGGCCTCAGTATTCCCATCTGTAAAGTGGCTCTTAAGGGACCCTGCCACCACCCGATGCCCTCTCTAAGAAACGTGTCTCATCATAAATGTCTCTGGGCCAAGAAGGATGGGCAGGGACTGAGGAGCATACCCTTGGTGGGCACTGCTAATTACAGGGGACGATGGGCTCACTTAGCAAGGCCACCAGAGAGAGTCCCTGAACACCACCAAGGTCAGAGAAAGCGTTTCTGGCCTCCTGTGCCTAGCTTTTCCCTGCCCCCTCCCAGGTGCGCCTTGCCCTGCTGCCCAGAAGAGTGGGGACCCTCCCAGGGCCTCTCTGCCCTTGAAGGAATAAAGCCAAGGGGGAGGTCATGGCTGGAAAGGGGATCCAGGCAAGGTTTACAGAGCCCCAGAAGGCCACAGTGGGTCAGGGCCAGGATCAGAGACCAGGCAGGTAGCACAAAGGGATCACTCGGGGGAAAACTGGCGGGAAGAGAATGGGATGGCTGGCACCCAGGTGGGGCCCTACCTCAGCCAGGGAGCTCCGTCCAGCTGCCAGCACAGTCCAGGGCTCCAGGGCACCCTGGGGACTCTGGGGTTGCAGCCAAGTCCTCAGGGGGCAATGTCAGCATGTCAGCATGGCCCCAGAGCCCAGCAAGGCAAGCTCCTGGGTATTGTGTGGGGCAGGGAGGGGGAGGTGAAGGAGGAGGGAACCTTTCGGAGAGGCAGCGGCTGTCTCAACGTGCCTGCTCCCCGCCCCCCTTCCCCAGAACCGGTTTGGCTAGTCTGGGGTACGAGAGGGGGGCTGGAACAATGGGAGTCCTATGCCCAGGTGAGGCTCTAAAGGACCCTAGACCCAGGTCCTAAAGATGGGGGAGGCACTGCTTCTGCTCCTAGGAGACAGGTCACCACTCTTCCAGAGCCTCCCAAACATGAGCTCAGGGGACTTCCTGGAGCTGGGGAACATCCTGGGAGCTTCACAGAGAGCCTACCAAGGCCTGGACTCCTTAGGGACCCTGAGAACTCCAATGACCCTCTCTGATCCTATTACTGCATCTATCAAATGGGAACATTCATCCCTATGGTAAGGAGACAGAAATTTATCCTGAAAGTTGGTGATGTGACATCTGGCATCCTGGATGGCCTCTCTCACCCAGCACAGCCACTCCTTGCAAATGATCCATCCTTTCCCACTGCCTGGAATGACCTGCCTCACCATCTCCAATGGCCACCTCCACCATGAAGCCTTCCCAGACTACACCGATTGAGCCCTCAATAAATAAAGTCAAACAGCCAAGTCAAACCACTCAGAATAAGAATGGCCTGCTCTATGACTGGCATGCAACCTTCCGAAGCCTGTGGAAGGGGAAGCTGCACTTACCCGAATACTACCTGCCATCAGTTTGAGCTCTCAGTATTGCCAGGCACTTAATATTAATATTCAGGTGTGTAAACGTACTCATACTCATGGAGCTAACTCATTGGTCACCTACTATGTGCCAGGCACTGTCCTGATCCCTTCACATGCATTTATTCATTTAATCTCTACCATAACCCTGTCAAGTAGATATCGGATGAGTTCAGTTGTCCTTTGGTACCCCACGATCTGTGGGGAATTGGTTCTAGAACCCCCATACCAAAATCCATGAGTGCTTAGGTTCCTTATATAAAGTGTCACAGTGTTTGCTATAACCTATGCACATCCTCCAGTAAATTTTATTTTATTTATTTATTTTTGAGATAGAGTCTCACTCTGCCACCCAGAGTGAGTGGTGCTCACCATACCTTTGCCTCCCAGGTTCAAGCAGTTCTTCTGCCTCAGCCTCCCCAGTAGCTGAGATTACAGGGGCACGCCACCACACCCTACTAATTTTTGGATTTTTAGTAGAGACAGGGTTTCACCATGGTGACCAGGCTGGTCTCAAACTCCTGACCTTTAGTGATCCATCCACCCCAACTTCCCAAAGTGCTGGGATTACAGATGTGAGCCACCTTGCCCAGCCTATTTTATTATTGTCAAAAAATAAAATAAATGTACTCAGGTGACAGGATCTCACTCTGTCATCCAGGCTGGAGTGCAATGGTACAATCACAGGGCTCACTTGCATTCTTGACCTCCTGGGCTCAGGTGATTCTCCCACCTCAGCCTCAAGAGGGGACCACTGGCATATCCTAGCACACCTGACTTTTGTATTTTTGTAGAGATGACATCTCACCATGTTGCCCATCCTGGTCTCAAACTCCTGGGCTCAAGCGATTGACCCCACTTGGCCTCCCAAAGTGCTGGGATTATAGACATGAGCCACTACGCCCAGCCCTCCAGTACAGTTTAAATCATTTCTAGATTACTTATAACACCTTAATACACCTTAATACAGTGTAAATTCTTTGTAAATAGTTGTTAGCCAGTAATGTTTTTATTTGTGTTATTTTTTTATTGTGTTATTTTTAATTTTCATTTTCTTTCTTTTTTTTTTTTTTTTTAGATGAAGTCTTACTCTGTCACCCAGACTGGGGTGGGGGTGCAGGAGCACAATCTCGGCTCACTGCAACCTCTGCCTCCCAGGTTCAAGCGCTTCTCCTGCCTCAGCCTCCTGAGTAGCTGGGACTGCAGGTGCCCGCCACCACGCCAGGCTAATTTTTTTATTTTCAGTAGAGATGGGATTTTACCATGCTGGTCAGTCTAGTCTTGAACTCCTGACATTGTGATCCATCTGCCTCAGCCTCACAAAGTGCTGGGATTACAGGCGTGAGCCACTGCGCCCGGCTTATTCTCATTTTCTATGCATGGTTGGTTGAACTGAAGGATGCAGAACCCGAGGGTATGGGGGCCACCCGTTTAAGAGGTTTGTACAAAAGTTAAGTCACAAGCATTATCCCTCTGAAATCTCTCATCAGTTCTATGAAGTCCCTATTTTACAGATGATATAGAGTTTCAAGGGATGAAATAACTTGCCCAGGGCCACACAGGCAGAACTAGTGTTGAAATCCAGGTCTGGCCAGGCATCATGGCTCACTCCTGTAATCGCAGCACTATGGGAGGCTGAAGTGGGTGGATCACCTGAGGTAAGGAGTCTGAGACCAGCCTGACCAATATCGTGAAATCTGTCTCTACTAAAAATACAAAAATAGGCCGGGCACAGTGGCTCACACCTGTAATCCCAGCACTTTGGGAGGCAGAGGCCATCAGATCATGAGTTGGAGGTCAGGAGTTTGAGACCAGCCTGGCCAACATGGTGAAACCATTTGTAGCTGGGTGTGGTTGCGTAACACCAGCTACTCGAAGCCTGAGGCAGGAGAATCGCTTGAACCCAGGAGGCAGAGGTTGCAGTGAGCCAAGATTGTGCCACTGTACTCCACCCTGGGACGGAGCGAGATTCCGTCTCAAAAAAAAAAAAAAAAAAAGCTGTATGTGGTGGCGTGCACCTGTAATCCCAGCTACTGGGGAGACCGAGCTAAGAGAATCGCTTGAACCGGAGAGGCAGGGAGGCAGAAGTTGCAGTGAGCTGCGATCTGGCATTGCACTCCAGCCTGCCAGACAGAGTGAGACTCCGTCTCAAAAAAGAAAAGAAGCCCAGGTCTGTCTGATGCCACCACCCACCTGAATCCTTCATCACTGCCTGGTACTGCCTCATAAGGCTTTTAGGAGAGTCTCATGGTGAAAAGTGTGTGAAAGTCTACTGGGGGCGTGTCTCGGCTGACCTAACTAAACTCTTACTGTTATTCATACACTGCAGGCTTGGAAAGCATACACAGCAGGACAGCAGGGGTTTCATGGTCCGTAAGACGGAGTTTCGCTTTTGTTGTCCAGGCTGGAGTGCAATGGCGTGATCTCGGCTCACAGCAACCTCCGCCTCCCGGGTTCAAGAAATTCTCCTGCCTTAGCCTCCCAAGTAGCTGGTATTACAGGCATGCGCCACCATGCCTGGCTAGTTTTGTATATTTAGTAGAGAAGGGGTTTCTCCATGTTGGTCTGGCTGGTCTTGAACTGCCGACCTCAGTTGATCCACCCTCCTTGGCCTCCCAAAGGGCTGGGATTACAGGCGTGAGCCACCTCACCCGGCCCCAAAGTATTTTCCTTAGCTGGAAAACGATGGCCATTAAATTCAGAGTGATTAGAGTCCCTCTGCTCCCTCATGTCCACTTCAGCTCCCTATAGCATCGCCACATAGTAAGGAGACACTGCACCGTGTGGGGTGGGGACCAGGTGGTCGTGGAGAGGTGGTAGGCTGGGGCGCAGAGACAGGTTTATTGTCAGCTTCGCACAGAGGCCAGGAGACAGGAACACGGAAGCGGAGCAATGCAGGACAGGAGGTCTCCAGGGAACTCCAATTCTCTCTTCCTAGCTCCCAGGCCGGCCTTGGGACACTGCACTGTTCCGTAGCTGGAAGCCAGAGGATCCCAATAGGAGGAGCATCCTAAGGAACCTAGGGCCCTGTCCTGGAAGGGCAACCCTGCCTCACTCGCCCAAGTCCTGGACTTCGGGGACAGCGCTCCTGCTGCAGTGAGCAGAGAGCACAACTTGGTCAGGCTGAGAAGGCTGGAGCTCCAGAGCAGAGACCCCCAACCCCAGTGTGCGGATAAAGTAGAAAAGGGGGCGTTGCGAGGGCGGAGCTTAATGATGGGCGGGAACAGGCGGAAACTACAGGAATTCAGCCAATCCCTCCAATGGGCGAGGTCAAATAAGGGGGCCGGGCTAGAGAGGACCAAGCTAAGGCCTGAGGACGGGCCAAAGGGCGTGGTCATTATGGTGCGGGTGGGCCCGGGTCTGCCTGCCTTGCTGACCGAAAGCAGCGCCTCCGGGTTGTCCGCCGGTGCCTACTTGGCCAGGTAGCTCTAGCGGTTTATCTTGGTAGCCAGGGCTGGCACATCGGGCACGAGCCGGGCGATGGGGTGCAGAAAGAACACTACATGCTGGGGAGAAGGGGGGCCAAAAAGAATGATTGCCTTAGCGATCTTAACTTATGGAGCGCTTACCCCGCGCCAAACCCTAATCTGAGGGTTTTCCGGACATTAATTTATTTAATTTATACAACTCTATAAACTGGGAGTAATTTCTACTCTACAAGTGAAGAAACAGAAGCAGAAAGGAGTTGTCATTTGCCCAAAGACACAGAGGTATGATTTGAACCCCTTAACACTAGGAACCCCGTTAGGGGGAGGGCTTGTAAAAGAGCAAAGCTGGTGGGAGACTGCTTCCTCTCTTTTCTTCAGATCTCTTGCCAAGAGATAATGTTATTATTATTTGTGATATTAATTCATTGAGCACCTACAACGTGCCAGGCACTGTGCAAATGCTTGACACCGAAACTTAACCCTATGAAGTAGATGATATTATCTAATATATCCCCATTTCCAGCCGGTCGGCGACAGAGCCTGAACTTGCAACCAAGCCTGTCCAAGACAGATGGCTGAGCCTATCTCGAAGTCGATAATGAAGCCCAGATGCACGGCCAGCAGCTTCCAGTAGAAGAGGGCGAGGTTCGCCCGCGCGTCGCGAAAGGCCTTGTATCTGGGTTGCGGGATCCGGAAAGGCTCTCGGATCCCGACTCCGAACCCTGCACGTCCTCCCCTCCTCCCGCCTAGAATCTGGCCCTGTCTGTTCAGCCTGTACCCTAGCCGGCTCCGCGCATCTGTCTGGGACAGACTCAGCTCACTGCACCCCAAGCAGGCCCCGCCCCACCCGTCCACAGTTTCGGCTCTGGACTTCCCAGACAGGCCCGGCCCCAATCTCTTCAGCACCCGCCCTTCCCAGACAGGCCCCGCCCACCAAAGCTCAGTACCCGCCCCTCCCAGGCCGGCCTCGCTCTCCAAGGCTCAGCACCCTGCTTCCCAGACAGGCCCCGCCCGTCCCACCTCAGGGTCCCGCCCACCATGGCTCAGCGTCCCGCCCTCTCATGAATACCCCGCCCATCAAGGCTCATGGCCCCGCCCCTCCCGCCACGCCCCTCCTTTCCCAGTCTGAAGGGTCTCGCACCTACAGAGTGTTTGCTCTGGGCCAGGTAGTCTGGGGGCGCGGGTGCCTGCCTGAAATTCACAAAGCCGCTCAGCTGGATGTGATGTTCATACTGGTACAGGAGATGCGGCAGGAAGTCCGAGGCGAAGGCGAGACGGAAGCCTGCAGAGCCAGAGGGCCTTTAGGGCCCAGTCCCCTAACTCACCCCTACTCGGATCCTGACCCACTCCCGAGGCAGGATGAGCCTTTGGCCCGGAATCCTAGCCTTCTGTCCCCTATTTCTCAGCCTCTGGCCCGGATTTCCTGCTCCAGCCCCCCATTTTCCTATTCCTGAACCACCTTCCCCAGTCTCTGAGCTCCATCTCACCCGCTTCCCTCCCCTGTATTCCCTTCCTCTACCGCACTGCCATTCACGGTGACCGCAAGGTGCACCATGGCCTCCAGCAGGAGCCGCCAGATCCTGCCGCGCCCAGACATTGGTCGCTGGTACTCGCACAGAAACTTGTGGGCATCCAGTCGTATCTCTACCCAGTTGTTGGGCAGAGCCAACAGGGGCGCCAGCAGGAAGGCCCCCACAAAAATGGTGATGAACCCAAACTGCAGCTCTGGGAGGCAGGGAGTGTCAGGCCAGGAGCCACCTCCCTTGCTGTGCCAGCCCCCCCAGAGGCCCCACTCATGCTCAGGGCACAGGCTGGCTGCTGAGTGACTGCTCACCCATCTCCGGGTATTCATCAAACAGTCCCTGGCACTCAATGAGCTCTTACTCCTTCCTCCTCCCAGTGCTGCAGCTCCTGCCCAACCTGGGTGTCGCTCTGTCCTGCCAGCTGCCACTTCTGCCACGAAGCCTTCAGCTTCCTGGGGGCAGGAAGCAGGGAAAGCAGATAATGGTCATAACAGGACCTTGTGCTAGAAACTGCCACTTCTATTACCAGCACCCCCTAGAGGCAGGCATCATGATGATTTCTGCTTTATGGATGAGGAAACACACCTAAGAGAACTTCCCCCAGGTTCCCCAAATTGTAAGTGGTGGAGACAGGGTTCAAATCCAATCTGTTAGCCCCAGTTACACTCCTAAGAGTCCAGCGCCCCCCCCCCCCCGCCTTTTTTTTTTTTTTTTTGAGACGGAATCTTGCTCTGTCGCCCGGGGCAGAGTGCTGTGGAGCAATCTTGGCTCACTGTGACCGCTGCCTCTCCGGTTCAAGCGATTCTCTGCCTCAGCCTCCAGAATAGCTGGGATTACAGGCGCCCACCACCACACCCAGCTAATTTTTTTTATTGTTAGTAGAGATGGGGTTTCACCATCTTGGCCAGGTTGGTCTCGAACTCCAGACCTCATGATCCACCCGCCTTGGTCTCCCAAAGTGTTGGGATTACAGGCATGAGTCACTGTGCCTGGCCCTGAGAGTCCACCGCTTTATGACTCCTAAGCAGATCTCATTAAAGACTGGCTGCTCCTAGGGAAAAGGACCAGCTCTGATTCATTTCTGTGTCCCTAGCATCCAACCAAGGGTGCACAGCAGGAAGGCCCCCTGAAAGATGGTGATGAACTCAAACTGCAGCATTGGGAGGTGGCATTGTCAGGCATGGGGCCACCCAGTAAGGGCTGAAGGACAGAATAAATGCAGGTGTTAAATTTTCACAGCTGCACAATGATGTGCCCATAAGTTACAGTTGATAAGACTCTAGCCCAGGAAAATCAAGAACCAGCTTCAAGATCAATAGCAAGACCTGGGTAGGGACAAATCGAGCCCAGTTGGTTCTGTTGCTTTGCTGGGCTGCTTTCTTGGGAGGCAACCGCCTCGAGGCTGGTTTGGGAAGTAGTCTCATCTGCCTTTGAAGAATGCCATGTAGAAGGGAGAAGAATAGAAACTGACAAACTGGAAAATGAAGACTTTGAAAGTGAAGGCATTTTCATGGAAGATCTGGGTTCTATGCATCTCTGGACAAAGGGCAGAGCTGGTCAGAATTCTACTGGGTGCAAAGGGGCAGGTGTAGCCCATCAGATCAGCCCCTATGCTCCTGTCCTTAACCCACCAACCCCTAATGCCAGCTTCATGTCCCTGGCCACTCTCATTTGAGGGTGATTGGACTCCCAGTTCCCCGGTGACACAAAGATAGCCCTGCAACCCATTACCTTCACTTACTCTTTATCTGGTGAACCAGCCAGTGAGATGTAGACCTGGCTTAAGAGAAAGACCAGGCCGGGCGAGGTGACTCACACCTGTAATCCCAGCACTTTGGGAGGCCAAGGCAGTGGATCACCTTAGGTCAGGAGTTCAAGACCAGCCTGACCAACATGGTGAAATCCCATCTCTACTAAAAATACAAAAATCAGCCTGGCATGGTGGTACGCACCTGTAATTCCAGCTACTCAGGAGGCTGAGGCAAGAGAATCACTTGAACTTGGGAGGTAGAGGTGGCAGTGAGCTGAGATCATGCCACTACACTCCAGCCTGGGTAACAGAGCAAGGCTCCATCTCAAATAACAAAAAAAAAAAAAACAGCAACAGGTGGAGTGCAGTGCTGCTGATGTTGGCAATGTTGCCAGCCTAGGCAGAGTGATGGGCCATTACCTGGAGCCTACCCATGTGGTGGGATGAAAAAATCCTGAAGATGCCTACTTCAGGCCTGGAGCCTGGAACAGTGCTCCCACCTCCACTGCCCCAAGGGACATTTACTTGGGTCATGAACACAGGGTTGCCCGTGTGGCACATTGCAATGCTGATGATGCCAAGTTAAATTATGATAGACACCAGGAAAATCATCACCATGCAGAGCTGGGGTCCGGGAGAGAAGGCTGCCAGAGCTGGAGAGAGGGCTGCTAGGGTTCCAGAGCACCCACCCTGGAGGGGCCAGTCCTTTCAGAGCAAAGGTCCAATGTCCCCTCACCACAGTGAAGATGGCTGCAGAGCCAGTGAGTAGGTGGGAAAGGCAGCTGTGGGGTGGGGAGTAGGGTTCATTCAGGCCTGTCACTGGGTTCTGGATCATCTGCAGGGCCAGGGCAGCAAACTCTAGATGTAGACACTCCTGTCACAAGGCGCAACAGAAATGCCCATCCTAGGGCCAAGAGGCTGGTGCCATGATCCTAGGATAAGGGAAGCCCCTAACCTTTTCCTGACTGCCTAGGGAGCTCTGGAAGTACAGGAATGTGGTCTAATTCACTTTTGGTTTTGCAGGGCCTTTTTTCCCCAGGGCATGGTTAAAAGCCTGTGGATGGATGGCTGGATGGTTGGGTAGACGGAGAAGTAAACAGTAAAAGGGTGGACATGTGGGAAAGGGCTAGATAGACTGATGGGTGAGCAGACAGTAGGCAGACAAATGGGTGGGTAAACTGGGCAAACAATCAATAAATCTCTATAGTTTACTCACAAGTAAGTAGGTAGATAGGCAGGTGGGTAGAGGGATGGACCTATGACTAGGTGGGTGAGCAGATAAAAGTCTGGTAGGATGGTTGATGGACATGAGGATTGATGGATGGATGGATGGATGATGGATGGATGGTTAGGTGGGTGAGCAGATGAAACTCTGGTTGGATGGGTGATGGACATCAGGATGGATGGATGGATGGATGGATGGATGGATGAATGGACTGATGAATTGATGGATGGATGGATGAATGGGCAGATGGTTAGGTTGGTTAGCAGATGAAAGTCTGGTTGGATGATCGATGGACATGAGGATGGACGGATGGATGGTAAATGGATGGTTAGGTGGATAAGCAAATGAAAGTCTGAATGGTGGATAAACATGGGGATGCATGGATGAATGGATGAATGGGATGGGTGGATGGGTGGATGAGTAGATAAATTTATTCGTTTAGTTGATAACTATTAACTGTGTATCACTCTGCAATAGATACTGAATATGCCACAGTGAACAAACTGGAGAAGATCCATGCCCTAATGAAGTTTACAAACTAGTTTGCAAAACAGAGATTAAATGAATGAACACATATATATAAGTCCTATGAAGGAAAATGTTTTCATGGATGATCACTCTGAAGAAAGGACACTTTAGCTGTGACCCAAAGGTGAAAAGGTGCGAAAGGGACAGTGGAGAGAAGCTTTCTGGGGAGGGAACAGTGTGTGCAAAGGCAGGGCCACTCTTTTTTTTTTTAGGCAGTCTCAATTTGTTCCCAGGGCTGAAGTGCAGTGGTGCGATCTTGTCTCACTGCAACCTCCTCCTTCCAGGTTCAAACAATTATTGTGCCTCAGCCTCCTGAGTAGCTGGGATTATAGGCATGTACCACCTCGCCCAGCTAATTTTTGTATTTTTAGTAGAAACAGGGTTTTGCCATGTTGGTCAGGCTGGTCTCGAACTCCTGGCCTCAAGTGATCTGCCTGCCTCAGCCTCCCAAAGTCCTAGAATTACAGGCATAAACTACTGCACCCAGCCCACTCTTTTTAAATTAAATCAAATTTATTCTTTTTGAAACAGAGTCTCACTCTGTCACCCAGGCTGGAGTGCAGTGGCACAATCATAGCTCACAGCAGCCCCAAACCCTGGCCCCAAGTGATCCTCCTGCCTCAGTCTACTGAGTAGCCGGGACTACAGATACTGTCATTGCATCCAGCTAATTTTTTATTTTTTAGTAGAGAGAAAGTCTCACTATATTGCTGAGGCTGATCTTAGATTCCTGGGCTTCAGTGATCCTCCTGCTTTGGCCACCGGAAGTGCTGGAATTACAGGTGTGAGCCACTATGCCCAGCCCAGGGCAACTCTTTAGAGTCACCTGAGTTGTATACTGCACTATCCAGGGGGTACCATTGACATTTACTTTGTTGTCTCACTATCCAGGGGGTACCATTGCCATTTAGCTTGTTGCCCTTTCTGCTTTTTCAGTCCCCCAGCAGCTGTTTAGCCAATACCTTATATTAAATTCTCTCTGTTAAAATACCTTGTCAGTTTTCTATCTCCTATAACCCTGTTGAATGGATGAAGTGATGAATGGCTGGACAAATGGGTAGGCAGAGGACAGATTATTAACAGATTCATTCAACAAACATTTATTGAGCATCTTCTATATGCTAGAGACCATTCTGGGCACTGGGGATACAGCAGTCAACATCACACACAAGGTCTCTGCTCTCATGGAGCTCACATGCCAGTGGGAGAAGACAGATAATAAAATTATAAACCATAAAATACAGTGATGAATGCTGCGATGAAATTCAAACAGGGGGCTGGGCGTGGTGGCTCACACCTGTAATCCCAGCACTTTGGGAGGCCGAGGTGGGTGGATCATCTGAGGTCGGGAGTTCACAACCAGCCTGGCCAACGTGGTAAAACCTCATCTCTACTAAAAATAAAAAAAATTCGCCAGGCATAGTGGCAGGCGCTTATAATTCCAGATACTTGGGAGGCTGAGATAGGAGAATCATTTGAACCTGAGAGGCAGAGGTTGCAGTGAGCCGAGATCACACCATTGCACTTCAGCCCAGGCAATAAGAGTGAAACTCCATCTCAAAAAAAATAATAAATAATCGAGAGGGAGCCTCTCTGGATTGGTGGTCAGGGAAGACCCCTGTAAGGAGACATTTGAGACTTGAATGACAAGGAGTAGACCATATAAAATCTGAAGGGGCTGGGCACAGTGGCTCACATCTGTCTGTAATCCCAGCACTTTGGGAGGCCAAGGCAGGCAGATGGCCTGAGGTCAGGAGTTCGAGACCAGCCTGGCCAACATGGTGAAACCTCACATCTACTAAAAATACAAAAATTAGCCAGGTGTGGTGGCACATGCCTGTAATCCCAGTTACTTGGGAGGCTGAGGCAGAAGAATCATTTGAACCTGGGAGGTGGAAGCTGCAGTTAACTGAAATTGCACCACAGCCTGGGCAACAGAGCAAGATTCCATCTCAAAAAAAAAAAAAAAAAAAAAAAAGGCCAGGCACGGTGGCTCACACCTATAATCCCAGCACTTTGGGAGGCCGAGGCGGGTGGATCACGAGGTCAAGAGATCGAGACCATCCTGGCCAACAAGGTGAAACCCCGTCTCTACTAAAAATGCAAAAATTAGCTGGGTGTGGTGGTGCACGCCTGTAGTCCCAGCTACTCGGGAGGCTGAGGCAAGAGAACTGCTTGAACCCAGGAGGCGGAGGTTGCAGTGAGCCGAGATTGCGCCATTGCACTCCAGCCTGGGTAACAAGAGCAAAACTCCGTCTCAAAACAAAAAACAAACAAACAAAAAGTTGAAGGAAGAGGATTCTGGCAGAGAGCAAGCCAGTGCCAAAGCCCCAGGGTGGAAATGAACCTGACCTATTCAAGGATCTGGTGGAGCCAGTGGGGGAGAACCAGCCACAGACCAGATGGCACAAGGCCTTGCAGGCCACTGTGAGGGTTTTGGATGGTTTCCCAGGTACATGTTAAATGAGTCTGTCCTGGAAGGCTTTGAGGAAGGTAACACAGGATGTCACCCTCTTGGCAGCTGAGAACCAATTAAGTGGGGCAAGGAGACCTGTTAGGAGGTAACTGCTCTCCAGGAAAGATGAAATGTGACTTGGACTGGAGTGGGGAGGGCTGGGGTGTGGCAGAGGAGGTAGTGAGAGGTGAACAGATTCAGGATCAATTATTAGATGTTTGGATAGACAGGTAGGTAGCTGGATGGGTACGTGGGTAGGTGGAATGTTTTCTCCTTCTCGGTTCTAGGGAGGGTCTCTCTCCGAGGCCCAGCTGAACATCTAAATACTCCCAAAGTTTCCCCTCACCCAGCCTATATCATCCTGATGTCAGAGAAGGGTGGAAAGTGACCCAGGAAAAGTGTGAGGAGAAGCCAGATTTGGATCCTGGGATGTTGGACTCCAAAGCCCGAACTCTTCCCAGTACACCTTATGGCCTCTGAGAACTCTGGGAAGTGGGGTTGTGGGCCCAGAGAGCTGAGCTGGGTATCACTTCCTGGTCCTGGAAGTCACTGCAGTCCCGGTGGTGGGCCAAGGTGGCACTCCCCACTTCCAGTGCTCCAGGAAGGCCATGAAGATGCTGAAGAACACAGTTCCAGGATGGTCAAAGAGGCAGCTTAGCTGTGAGGAGGGGTGAGAGGGCACATTGTAGGGCCAGCATCCAGGCCCAGGTTGGGCCCAAAACACCTAACTGGTTTTTTTTGTGCCTTTCCCTGGCTCACATTGGCCATGGAGCAGATCCCGGAAATATTCCACGTGGCACAGGTATCACAGAGTGGCACCCCCACTGACACAGATCTCCTCTCTGTGAGCGGAGGGTGCCCATCCTGGGAGGGCCTATCCTCAACCAGGCAGATGACCTGGCCCACCCAGCCCATTCCCCAACCCTTCCGCAGCCACCCACACCAGTGTGTTGGTCCTCATGGTGAGAAGGCCAGAGATAAAGACCAAGGTGCCTACCAGGCTGACAGGCAGCCGCCAGGCCAAATAGAAACCTGGAGGGAGAGAGAAAATTCACGAACCCCCATCTCTGCACTCAAGCCCCACTCCCAAACCCCACCCCAGTGCCAGACTTACCTAGCCAGGCAAAATCGATGACCACCTTCTCCCCAAAGTACTCTCATACGTGGTCCAGGGGTAGGTAGTTATGCCAGTATCCCCAGCAAGCCCAGTATGGGCACAGCAATTGGCAAGAGTTGAGATCTGAACCGGGTACCTGGTACCCAGGCAGTTCAAAGAAGCCCTAGGGGGACAAAAGGCGGGAGAGGTGCAGGGAGGTTTGAGAGTGCTCTCCGGATGGCGCAGCCACCGCTGCCATACTGTTAGGCCTGGGAGAGATCTGAGCTTGGGACATCTCTTGTGGATAACCCTCCATATAGGACACCAAGGAATGAGAGCTAAGCAGAACCCTGGCACAGTTAGGGCTTGAGGAATATCTCGTTTTATAGTGTTACCACTCAGCTATTTCCTTTTATATAATCCTTTACATAATCATATATTAGTTTATAGAATTAGGGCTTAAAGAATCCCTTTATATAATCCTCTATATATAATCATATAATAGTTGATAGTATGAGCGCCTAAAGAATATTTCCCTACATATATACCTATAATTATATCTTAGTTCATAATCAGAGGAATGCCTAGAGTGGACACAGTACAGAGCATGAATTAAGGAATAAGCAGCTTATAATCAGAGGAATGCCTAGAGCAGACACAGTGCAGAGCATGATTTAAGGGAAAACAGCTATACCAGGGCAAGAATCCATGGCCCAGGTGGCAGCGTTCAGTACCGTAAAGATACCCGCTGTATGGCAGGCTTGGGGCAAGAGCCACTCCTCCTGATAAAGGAGTTGTAGGACCTTGCTCCAGTTCTTGTGGAAGGCTGCCCTCAGAACAGCAATCCACCTTGGTGACTGTGAACTTTATCAGCTCCTGCTACTGTGCTGCTTGAAAAGCATCTTCCCATAGAACCCATTGGAAGCTGCCAGAAGGTGGCGGTAACCTTGACAGCTCTGTCACTGCTATGTGACTTAAAGCATCCTCCTAAAAATCTTAGAAGTAGTTTGTCCATAGATAGAAGTACTGCACACTGCACCCCCTTACTGCACGGCCCTTGCCTTCATGGGAACCGGCCCCTTGCTGCGCGCTGTCCACCTCCTAGCCTAGGTGATCTAATAGGAGTGGACCCCATGTTTTATTGCTCACGACCCTATCACTATCCTTAAAGATGATTTCACTCACTGCCCTGCCCCCTAACCTATACACAATATATACTCATGCTTCGGGACACAATATATACTCATTTGGGGCCTCGCCTGACTCCACTCATAGGTGGCGGGGCCCCCGGAGCCCAGCTGCATGCATTTTTCTTTGTAATTCTGTGTCCTGTCTCTTTCTTTCTTTCTTTCTTTCTTTTTTTTTTTTTTTTTTTTTTTTGAGACAGAGTTTCACTCTTGTTACTCAGGCTGGAGTGCCATGGCGCGATCTCGGCTCACCGCGACCTCAGCCTTCTGGGTTCAGGCAATTCTCCTGCCTCAGCCTCCTGAGTAGCTGGGATTACAGGCACGAGCCACTATGCCCAGCTAATTTTTTGTATATTTAGTAGAGGCGGGGTTTCACCATGTTGACCAGGATGGTCTCGATCTCTTGACCTCGTGATCCACCCATCTCGGCCTCCCAAAGTGCTGGGATTACAGGCTTGAGCCACCGCGCCCGGCCTCCGTCTCTTTATTTCTCAGCTCCTGCGCCTCAGCACAGCATAAGGCTCACCCCACGACCCTGTGGGGCCCTCAGCCCTACAATCTCTCCCTCATGCAATGGGAAGGCCGTGGTGTAGACTCCCTCTGCCAGCAGGCGGGCAATGCCCATGCGGGGCCAGGATCTCTGCCACTTGCCAGAGGAGTCCTGGTGTCACTTCTGCCCGCTTAAGATCCCAGCTGGACTCGCCCCAAGCAGCCATCTCACCACTCGGTGCCTCCACGTGTTAGAGAAGTAGCAGTCACAGGAATCACTGCCCAGGAATCTATGAGAGGAGCAGGGGTCAGAAGCCCAGCCCTCCACCCAATCTGAAACCTAATGCTACGAGAATCCAGAGCCTCTCCGTTGAAGACAGGCAGGTGAGACATGCCAGCTGCTACTGCCAGAGAACCCTTCTGCCCGCAGAGCGCAATCTGGGCTGGGTGTATTCGTCAGGTGAGCATCAGAGCGGATTGAACAGGTGGGAATCAGGATTGAGAGGCAGGGCCGGGGCCCCAGTTTGCGGAAAGGACAGGCCCAGAGATCTAAAGCGAGTGAAGCGGGAGTTGCCTTTGAGGCGCTGGGAGGAGGAGCAAATCAGCCTTGGTTGGGCTAAGGCTTCTGCGGGCTGCTGGCCCCTCCGCGAGGCGCCGCCGGGTCTCACCTGTCCGGCTCCGAGCTGCGGATGTCACACCTGCAAGAGTCCTGCGACCGGCTGGGCACGTTCTGCGGCCGAGGGTTGGCCGGGCCTGGGGTCAAGGTCAGGATTACGGCCCCTGTGGTGACTCCGCCCCGGGCGGACCCCGCCCCGCCCCTCCACCTGCGGCGGCGCGCGCAGGCTCAGTTCCTCCGTGAAGCGCTGCGGCTCCCAGGCGCGCTTAGCTCGCGAAGGGCGCGGCGTTACGCGGGGCTGCTCTCCCGGGAAAGGAGAGGGAGGGACCCCCCCAAACCCCTCCCCTCCCGATCTCGGCCGGGAGGTGACAGATCCCATTTTTCGCGTGGGTCCTTTCCGCCTTCAAAAGAGCTGTGACATGAGTTTCATCGTTTACATTTCAAAGAGGAAACCGAACACCCTCGTTTTTCAAACGCGGAGACAGCGGGTGGGCCGCGTCGTATAGTGACTTATCTTGCCCCTTTCTTGGGCACCTCTAATGTGCCAGGCCCTGGGCTGAGCGCTCTACACCCTTCGTCCGTGTAACCGTCACAGCCCCTGCACGGGGCTGACACTACGGACAAACCCATTTCACAGATGAGCTGCTGAAGGCGCCGGGGCAGGTCTCAGAGCTGGCCTGGGGCGTCTGCTCTCGGCCTTGGGACTCGCAGCCCGCCCGCGCAGCGCTCACCTCCTCCGGGTTCTGCTGAAGCTTCTCGCGCCAGCTCCGTTGCCGGAGTCCCCATCTCTGCCGCCGCCGCGGGGGTCGAAGGTTCTCCAGGCTAGCGCGAAGTCCGCCCCATCGCGGGGGTGGGGGGACAGTTAGGAACTGTCTGGCCCTGGTGTGTCCCACTTTCATCTGGACGGCAAGGGGGGTCTGAGTCTATCAGTCCCACTAAGGCCAACATTAAAGGAAAATTGAGTCGTAGCAAAAGGTATTAGGGTTAGTTCGAAAAAGGAACTGCCCATTGCAAGAAAAAGACAAGAGACGCTTCGGGATTCTTCGGGGGAGGGGAGAGGGGACTTAAGGAAGAGCCTGTGGCCTGGCCACTCCGGCCTTCTGGGTGAGGTGGGACAAGAGTCCTGTCTGGCCCAAGTCTCACTAATGTAGGTTTTCCTGTCTCAGAAAACGTTACCCCTGGAGTCTGGGACATAAATGCCGCCGCAGGGTGCGGAGGTAGATATAGGCGTAGTCCGGGTTCCTGTCCGTGGGGCCATCACCGTCCTGGGTGCAGCAGGCATAGGGGTGAGGGTGAGGGGACGGGGCGCAGTTGCAGTTCCCAGAAGCTTCTGAATCGGCCCAATTGGGCCGCCCCTCCCTCCTCGCACTCCTGACTAAATTGAAGTGTAGCAATGGAGGCGATCCAATGTCAGCGCAATCTGCAACCCTTCTTCCTCCCCTTCACCTGCTCTCAGACCAGAACAGCCGCTGCTACTGTAATAACAAGGACGATGATAACAGCCAACATTTTTTGGGCTCCTAACTTGCTGCCCAGAACATGCTAAACATTTCATGTGCATTTACTTCTCATAATTCAAAGAAGTGGATGCTGCTATCTCCATTTCACAGATGTGTCAAGTGAGCACAAGGGAATTACAGAGGCATCCAAAGTCACGCAGTTCCCCTTCACTCTCCTTCTGGGCCACCTGAACTAGGCCTTAGTCCCACCCCTTGCCTCTCAGAATCCACCCCTTCTTTACAGAATAGAGCTGAACACCAGCTCCCCTGCTTCTCCCCACCCACCAGTGTTCCAGAGGCAAAGGGGCCTCCAACTCACTCCTCCAGCCTGGTTTTTGTGGTTGTTTTGTTTTTTTGAGACAGTCTCGCTCTGTTGCCCAGGCTGAAATGCAGTGGTGCAGTCTTGGCTCACTGCAACCTCTGCCTCCTGGGTTTAAGCAATTCTCGTGCCTCAGCCTCCTGAGTAGCTGGGATTAAAGGCGCTCACCACCATGACCAGCTAATTTTTGTATTTTTAGTAGAGACAGAGTTTCACCATGTTGGCCAGGCTGGTCTTGAATTCGTGACCTCTGGTGATCAGCCCACCTCAACCTCCCAAAGTGCTGGGATTACAGGCGTAAGCCACTGTACCCAGCAGAGACCAGGAGTTTGAGACCAGCCCGGGCAATACAGTGAGACCCTGTCTCTCAAAAAGTTTTAAAATTAGCTGGGTATGGTGGGAGCTACTTGAGAGGCTGGGGAGAAAGGGGGAGGATCACTTGAGCCCAGGAGTTTGAGGCTGCAGTGAAGCATGATTGTGCCACTGCACTCCAGCCTAGGCGTCAGAGCAAGACCCTGTCTCTTAAAAAAATAAGAAGGGCATCATCAAGAGGGCAACGGCAGAGCATTAAACCAGGTGTGGGACTCCTCGGAGTTTGAGGCCTGGTATGACCAGACAGGTCTCAGGCCCATGCCATCAGCCTGAACACGTGCATGTAAAAACACACTCTCCTCTCACCCGCACTCCACAGGGCTGCCCAGCAACCTCCCAGGAGGCATAGGTGTCAACTATTTGAAGAACTGTGGCTCCCAGTTCTGCACTGTGGAGATGGAGGCCCCTGGGGTGGCCTACTAAATACTACAGTGGCATGGAGGCTGTGCTGGGAGGAGCTAAGACGGCAGCCCGGGGAAGAATGGTGGAGGAGCTCTAAGCCCCAGCCCTGTTGCCCTCGCCACTTTGTCCTTACCCAGGGAGACACCTCTTGTTTGGGGTAAAGGTGGATGAGGGGTCAATTCTCTGACCAGAGCAGTGCCAGCCAGGAGAAGACTGCCCTACCTCACCGTGGGGGGCTCTGGGTTATGCTCTAGAGCAGCTTTCTGGCTTTTGGCTGAGCTGGTACCCAAGAGAGGCAGGAAGCCTCCTTTCAAGGGGCAGTTTACACCCAGAAATGACTGGCTGGGTTGTGTGTAGCTGGAGGCCACAGTCAGGCCTGGGGCTGCCTTCAGGGCCCTAACCCCAACTCTGTTGCTGCCGGGGAGAGCTAAGGTCTCCTGGAGTTAAGGACGGGAGACGGGGAGAGGAATGTGATCAGGCCCCCCTAGGAGCAGGGCTGAGGGCTGCAGGAGTGGGAAATGGCTGCAGGCTCTGAGGCTGGGGTACCTTTGCAGGGTGTGGGATAAGTGCAGGGCCTGAGCTCTGAGACTCAGGGGTGAGAACATGCTGGAATCAGTCCTTCCTCTGGCCCAGACCCTGGAAACAAAACCAGGTGGCAATGTTGACCCAGGTTGACAAATACAGGTGGCAGTGTTCAGGGTAGATAGGCTGGCAGCATGCATGGGCATGTGTGCTAGGGCACAGGCATCAGGACAGGTAAGTCTGGCCTCCTGTGTGTGCCAGGAGGCAGGAGTGGAAAGCACTTTCATCCTAGCATAGGTGTGTGAGCACAGGTGGTGCTGTGTGAGTAGGGCCTCAGGAGAGCTGCAGCACCCCAAGGGTGAGCTAGCTTTGGGGACACTCTTCTTTGGACCAGACGCAGGCCAGGCCTCAGCCCAGGGGTTCATCTATGGGATGAACCATAGATGGGCAGGAGCTCATCAGAGGCCCATTTCCCTGGGGCCTTCCTCTCATCCTCCTTAGTCTACCTCCTTAGTCTCCTTAGTGCAGTGTCTCTGGCTCATGGGGCAGGGCCAAGGCACAAGGCTGGGCCTGCTCACTCCCCTCCCAGCTCCTGTCGATGGCCTCCCAGGGGGCAGAGCTGCCCCTCAGGCCAGCTCATGCCCTGACCCCCCGGAATGGTCCTTGGCCCTGCATGGTGCTGCTTTTGGATACCTTGGGCTGCCAGGATTCCCATCCTGAACCTGGCCTGACAGCTTCATGATCAAGAAAGGCACTGCAGGCTGGGTGTGGTGGCTCACACCTGTAATCCCAGCACTTTGGGAGGCTGAGGCGGGCAGATCACTTGAGGTCAGGAGTTCAAGACCAGCCTGGCCAACATAATGAGACCCCCATCTCTACTAAAAATACAAAGTTAGCTGGCATGGTGGTGGGTACCTGTAATCTCAGCTACTCGGGAAGCTGAGATATGAGAATTGCTTGAACCGAGGTGTAGGCTGCAGTGAGCTGAGATCATGCCACTGCACTACAACCTGTGTGACAGAGCAAGATTCTGGAAAAAAAAAAAAAAAAAGAACAAAAGGCACTGCAGGCCAGGCATGGCGGCTCACACCTCTCATCCCAGCACTTCAGGAGGCTGAGGCGGGTGGATCACCTGAGGTCAGGAGTCCGAGACCAGCCTGGCCAACATGGCAAAACCCACCTCTACTAAAAATACAAAAATTAGGCCGGGCATGGTGGCTCACGCCTGTAATCCCGGCACTTTGGGAGGCCAAGGCGGGTGGATCACGAGGTCAAGAGCTTGAGACCATCCTGGTCAACATGGTGAAACCCCGTCTCTACTAAAAATACAAAAAATTAGCTGGGCATGGTGGCGTGTGCCTGTAATCCCAGCTACTCAGGAGGCTGAGGCAGGAGAATTACTTGAGCCCAGGAGGCAGAGGTTGCGGTGAGCCGAGATGGCGCCATTGCACTCCAGCCTGGGTAACAACAGCAAAACTCCGTCTCAAAAAAAAAAAAAAAAAAAAAAAAATTAACCAAGCATGGTGACGGCACCTGTAATCCCCACTACTCGGGAGGCTGGGGCAGGAGAATCGCTTGAACCCAGGAGGTGAAGGGTGCAGTGAGCTGCACTCTAGCTTGCGTGAGAGAGCCAGACTGCAACTCAAAAAAAAAAAAAAAAGAAAGAAAGGCACTGCAGAGCGACGGGCTTGACTCCTGGATTCACAGGTGGACTCCATGTCCCAGCCGCCCCCACAGTGCCACATGACCACATGACTGCTGGGTGCTGGCCTCTGGAATGTGGGCAGAATGAGGTGCCACCCTGGGCCTGGTCCACAGAAAGCTGGGGCCACCTCCCTCCTGTATTTACTCCCTGGCTGCTGACTGGGGCCCTGGGGCAAGTGGGCAGGGTCTCTAGGGCTGGGTCTCTTGCAGGAGCACCTGGAGCAGAGCCCCACTGTCACCTCCTCCTGAAGCCAATGGAAGAACAAACGGGTCTATGGAGTTCAGCACTGGGATTTCAGTGTTTATCTGTTATAACAGATGGTGTCACCTCAACCAATACAGGTTCTAATTGGAGTCACTTGAGAGGCACCCCATCTCCCCACCACCCGCCATGGGTGCTGCCAAAGGGGGAAAGGCCATGAAAGATGTCCGAACTCAGGATCTTGGTCCCCATCTCCATGCCATGAATTCTGCAAGGAAAGCGCTGCTGGCGGGGGCTTCTCTGGCCACGTCCTCCCTGACCAGGCCATGCTACCCAGTCCTCCAGACTGGATTCATGCTCCTGCCCCAGCCTCAGGCTCTGTGTTGAGACCTGAGGGTTGAGGGCAGGATCACAGGCACCCACTCATGATTCATCCAGGAGCACTCTCTAGGGGGTTGGGAAGCAGGCCAGCCGCCACCTGGTCTTGGTGCCACAGCTGCTCAGCGAGGCCGTTGAGTATGTGAGCAATGTCAGCCAGCCCAGCCCGCCCATCCAGCGTGCGCCCATCAGCCAGCCGCCGCCCTGGCACACTCTTCACCCGTAGCAGGGGCAGCTCCCAGGCCTGCCGGAAGGCTATGAGGTCCCGCTCAGGCACGTCTGTGTGCATGTACTGGTCAAATCTGGAGGAGGGTCAAGAAGCCTGGCCAGGTGCCTCTGCACACACCCCCATCAGACCCCGCCTCTCCCTCCACCCTGGAGCCCGCACCCAGGAGCCGGGCTAGCCATGTGGTACCCTTTAAGTAAAAGCCCAGGTGCTGAATTCCACACCTGGGCAGAGGCCAGGCCCCTGATCCCCTTGCTCCCTGACTTGCCAAGGGTGGCCTCTGACAGCCCCAGAGGCTACCCAAAGGATACTTGGAGCCGATGACCATCCTGATGACACCAGGGGCTTCACCTGCTATGCGGGCCAGCTGTCCAGGGAGGTCTTCAAAGGAGGCACGGTCAGTGAAGGAGAAAAGGAAGAGGAAGGCATCTGTGTTCTCCTTGCAAGCCTGGCGACGGAGAGGCATATAACTGTGACACCCTCCCATCAGCTGCAGGGCCCTGAGAAGAATCGGGAATAATCCCTCCTTTCACAGGTTGGGAAACTGAGGCCCAGAGCACGATGTGGCTGGTCCTAGGACGAGCATGGGCTGGGACTCAGTCCCCAGTGCCAGCTCAGATCTCTATCTCCCAAGGCAGGGCCTTGAGCTCTTTTTTTTTTTTTGAGATGGAGTTTTGCTCCTGTTGCCCGGGCTGGAGTGCAATGCTGACTGCAACCTCCACCTCCCAGGTTCAAGTGATTCTCCTGCCTCAGCCTCCCAAGTAGCTGGGATTACAGGCGCCTGGCTAACTTTTTGTATCATTAGTAGAGACAGGGTCTCTCCATGTTGGTCAGGCTGGTCTCAAACTTTCAACCTCAGGTGATCTGCCCGCGTCAGCCTCCCAAAGTGCTGGGATTCCAGGCGTGAGCCACCATACCCAGCCAGTGCCTTGAGCTCATTAATACCCAATCGGCCCCTGGCAGAGCCCACCCAGGCCCACATGCCTGCTCACCGGCAGCATGTGATCGAACTTTTTGAGCGCAGACTCTCCACAGTCCCAGAACTCAAAACGAAACATGACGACACGGTCGCTGGCCTGCAGCTTGGCTGGCCAAAATACCACGGTGGTCTGGATGCCTGAGGGGAGCCAGGATCAGCCATTCAGCATGGGAGGGGTGGAGATGGAGGACTGGGGGCAGGAAGGAATAGGAGGAGATACGTCCCTGCCCTGAGGGGTCCTCCCTTTGATGAGGGAGGCACAGTCCTTGACCTGGGAGAATTCTCAGTCTGATGGGAGAAACAGAGACTGGCCCTGGAGGAGCCTCTGGCATAGCAGGAAGATGTAGTCCCAGCCATGGCAAAGCAGTTTTGTTTGTATATGCAGGGAGACCAAAGGTCCCAGGACACTGGGCATGTTTCAACAGGGTGGATCAATCAACATCCAGTGGTAAGAAACAAGAAAGCAAGATTAGCATTTCCTGAGTATCTACCTTGAGCCTAGCTTGATGCTAGGGATGTTACCACCAGTACCTCTAGCAACCACACGACAACCCTGTGGGGTAGGTACTAGTATCCCCTTGGGACTGAGAAGCCCATGGAGGCTCAGAGAGGTGGAGTGACTTTCCAAGGCTACAGAGTAGGATGTGGAGCTGGGTATCGACCCTGGCTTGTGTGGTCCAGGGCCAGGTTCTTGCCCCCACCACAAGGAGGGCCTCCCAGGATGGGCAAAGGATTGAGGTTGCACTCACCGGGGGTCTCGTGGTGTAGCACAGGCACCTCCAGGCCAGCCAGCTTGGCCACCAGCGCCGTCTTGCCCACACCACTCTTCCCGGACACGAAGATCTTGTAGCTGGCAGTGTCAATGGACACAGGCGGTGGCAGCACTGGCCGCTCAAGCAGTCCTGGAGCAAAGAGGGAGCCAGGCAGAGTCAAGGGGTGCCGTGGTTTGAAGGTGTCCCCCAAAGTTCACGTATGAGAAACTTAATCCCCGATGCAACAGTGTTGAGGTAGGGCCTACCAAGAGGTGATGAGCTCAAGTGTTCTACCCTCACAAATGGATCCATGTTGTTATTGAAGGAGTGGGTTTGTTATAAAAGCCAGTTTGGGCACCTCTTGCTGTCTTGCTGTCACACTTCTGCCTTCTGCCACGGGATGGCACAGCATGAAGGCCCTTTCCAGATGATGCTGCCATGCTCTTACACTTCCCAGCCTCCAGAACTGTGAGCCAAATAAACTTCTATTCATTATAAATTTCCCAGAGGAGGCTGGGTGCGGTGGTTTACACCTGTAATCTCAGCACTTTGGGAGGCCAATGTGGGCAGAGGACCTGAGTTCAGGAGTTGGAGACCAGCCTGGCCAACATGGTGAAACTCCATCTCTATATAAAAAAAGAAGTACAAAAAATTAGCTGGGGGTAGGGGTGGGTGCCTGCAATCTCAGCTACTTGGGAGGCTAAGCCAGGAGAATCACTTGAACCTGGGAAGTGGAAGTTGCAGTGAGCCGAGATCATATCACTGCACTCCAGCCTGGGCAACAGAGTGAGACTCCATCTCAAAAAAATATAAATAAACAACCAAGAGTGTGTTTATTCTGTTATAGCAGCATAAAATGGACTAAGATAGGGGGTCAGTCCTGTACGTTCCCCATCAGATGCTAGGCTGGACAATCTTCATTTATTTATTTTTTTCTTTACCTTTGTTTTGTTTGAGATGGAGTCTCGCTCTGTTGCCCAGGCTGGAATGCAGTGGCGCGATCTCTACTAAAATATAAAAATTTGCTGGGCGTGGTGGCATGCATCTGTAATCCCTGTACTCGGGAGACTGAGGCAGGAGAATTGCTTGAACCCAGGAGGCAGAGGTTGCAGTGAGCCAAGATCGCGCCACTGCACTCCAGCCTGGCGCCTAGTGACAGAGCAGGACTCTGTCTCAAAAAAAAAAAAAAAAAAAAAAGAGATGAGGTTTCACTGTGTTAGCCAAGATGGTCTCAATCTCCTGACCTTGTGATCCACCAGCCTTGGCCTCCCAAAGTACTGGGATTACAGGCATGAGCCACTGTGCCCGGCCACCTTTTATTTTTAATAGGAATGGGGGTTTTACTATGTTGCTCAGGCTGGTCTTGAACTCCTGGGCTCAAGCACTCTTCCCACCTTGCCTGACCTCCCAGAGTGCTAGGACTATACCACACACAGCCAAGGACAACCTCATTTCTAATGGCTTCTTCAGGGCTAACCAACCATCTGTGGTTCTTTTTTTTTTTTTTTTTTTTTTGAGACGGAGTTTCACTCTTGTTGCCCAGGCTGGAGTGCAATGGTGTGATCTCGGCTCACCGCAACCTCCGCCTCCCGGGTTCAAGTGATTCTCCTACCTCAACCACAGAGTAGCTGAGATTACAGGCAGACACCACCATGCCCGGCTAATTTTGTATTTTTAGTAGAGATGGGATTTCTCCACGTTGGTCAGGCTGGTCTTGAACTCCCTACCTCAGGTGATCCGCCCACCTTGGCCTCCCAAAGTGCTGGGATTACAGGTGTGAGCCACCGCACCCGGCCCCATCTGTCGTTCTTAATACTCATCCCAATTTTACAGAAGTCTGAGATACAAAGAGACTGGCCTAAGTTATAGTCAGTCTGTTGATATTTACTAGCAGCTCTCAACGTTTGTTGTGGGGCCTGCATGACAACCACTGAACGACACATTCAAGTGTTAACAAAACCCCCCAGATGTCTGCAGGTAAAGTAAAAACACAAAAATTCAGGGCCAGGTGCAGTGGCTCACGCCTATAATCCCAGCACTTTGGGAGGCTGAGGCGGGTGGATCACGAGATCAGGAGATCGAGACCATCCTGGTCAACAAGGTGAAACCCCATCTCTACTAAAAATACAAAAATTAGCTGGGCATGGTGGTGCGCACCCTACTCGGGAGGCTGAGGCAGGAGAATTGCTTGAACCCAGGAGGCGGAGGTGGCGGTGAGCCGAGATCGTGCCATTGCACTCCAGTCTGGGTAACAACAGCAAAACTCTGTCTAAAAAAAAAAAAAATTCAAAGCCACCACTGCCATTCCTCTATGTTATGGCTGCTTGATCCTATCTGTGGCATAGATAATATGGTCAGTGGGTTCTATGATGTGCCCAGAAAATCAGCTCAACCTTCACTCAATTCTCTTCCACTCAACACAAACACAAAATGAATACAGTAACCGCCAACCTTCCGTGAACACCCACTGCATGCCACAGCCTGCTCAGTGTGTTACAAACACACTCCTTAGGAATTTCCCCAGCAACTCTATGGGGTAAATACTATGATTATCCCCATTTTACAGAGGTGGGACTTGAGGCTAGAGTTCACTTATTCCCAGTCACACAGCTAGGCAGTGGTGGAGCCTGGGTCACTTGCCTGGGTGTGCGTGACCCCAAATGCAGTGCTACCAGCCATCATGGGATTAGAGGGACAGTAGCCATATTAGAGGGTTTTTTTTTTTTTTTTTTTTTTTTTTTTGAGAGTTTTGCTCCTGTCGCCCAGGCTGGAGTGCAATGGCTCCATCTAGGGTCACTGCAACCTCCACCGCCCAGGTTCAAGTGATTCTCCTGCCTCAGCCTCCAGAGTAGCTGGGATTGTAAGTGCCTGCTACCATGCCCAGCTAATTTTTGTATTTTTAGTAAAGACAGGGTTTCGCCATGTTGGCCAGGCTGGTCTTGAACCCCTGAACTCAGGTGATCTACCCTCCTCAGCCTCCCAAAGTGCTCGGATTACAGGTGTGAGCCACTGCGCCCGGCCTTCCAGAGGGTCATATTTTCAATCTAGAGCAATTTCTTTAAAAAAACACACTGTTGACATATTCACAAATTTTGGTTCTAGCTATCTCACTCTCTGGTCTGAAGCCTTCTGGTGCCTTGCTTCTCCTGGCCAGAACTGGACTCCATAGCTCATTCCAGGTACCTCTGGCAGCCTCACAGCCGGGTCCTGCGTGGGCAAGTCAGCTTCACCGTGGGGAACACCAGTGTGTCTCATCCCAGAGACAGCAGGACATGGAAGTGGCTCACCTCTACTTATTAGGGTATGATATTAGCCAAGTCTGTACCATGTGCTGTTGAGAGGTTAAATGGGAGTGCACTGTGTAAAGTGCCCAAAAGAAGCCCTGACACGAGGGGAGGGCTCAGTCAACTGCATATCTGGTGACAGTGGTTGCTGACAGGGTTTCTGCTGTTTCCATGTTCCTGGCTGTGATGATGGAATTATCTCTAAGGAGATTTAGGGGTGGGGGTCCCAGGGATAGGGCTTTCAGTTTCCCAGGCTGAAGACTGTTGAAGACTGCAGTGGAGCAGGCCCTCACTGTCCTGCCTCTCTGCTCCACTCAGGGAGCAACAGATGATACTCTGCTCCCCAGGGAGACAAGTAACAGGCTGGAGGAAAGGGGGAGGCACTTACCAAACACCCGCCGGCGGTTCTTGCGCAGAATGCAACCCAGGTACTCCTTGCCCTCGGCACTCTCGTGCCAGTTTGGGACAACCACCGAACCGGGCACGGGAGGTCTGGCCATGGCTGGGCACCGCGATGGGGTAGGGAGGTGGCAGGAATGCTGAGAGCAGGCAGTGGAAAGAGGGGTGACCGTCCCAAGCCGGTCCTGAGATCCCTCTTAACTGCCCTCTGACTCTCCCGGGGGACCCCAGAAACTGCGGTCCTACAGCCCCCTCTCTCCTCCGCAGTGATCCCTGGGGACAGTCATCCCATTACTGCCCAGGGAGGGTATTTACACAGCCCGTCTCCCCTTGTCACCTCCGGGGGTCAGACGCCCCTGCTTCTCCTCTACCTTCTAGATCCCGATTCCCGGGGCCACCTAGCCCTCACCATCAGCAGTCCCGGCGGCGAACCGAACCGGGTGCCGAAGGCCCCTTTAAACGCCCACCCGCGCTCCAGCCGTCCCAGCCCACCGGTCCCGCTTCCGCCCTGCCTGCGTCGGGCTTCGGCGCGCGCTGCCAGCTCCGGCGCGGGTGCTCGCGGCGCATGTGCGGAGGTTGTTGCCATGGAGATGCCGGAGGCTGGGTTGGGCGGGTTCCGGGCGGCGTTCGTCCCTCCTACAATGTCCGCAGCCAGCGCGGCGCGATGGCACTGGGACAAGGCCTTTTCCTCTGGGTCGTGGATCCTCTTCTCTATTACTACGTCCGATCCCCAGTCGTTCTTCCAAAACATCATGAAACGCCCGCTTCTCCAGGAGCCTTCCTTGCCTATGTCTCAGTTTCTTCTTCTATAACGTGGACGTAACATGTTATTCCCTCCATAGCTGTGCTCCATATGTTTGATTATGACTGTTGCTATTATTAATATTATTGCTCTATTAATTCTGCTCAGCAGGACCTCGAGATGACTTAAACACATCTGGCTTCACTGATGGGGACACACACCAGCTCAGAGAGGTCAAGGGACTTGGCTCAAGTTTTTAAAAATGAGTCAGAGGCCCACTGGATTTTACTTTTCATTCATTCATTCATTCAACAAATACTGAGCACCTACTATGTTCCTGGCCTATTCTAAGGGCTGGGGATACAACGGCCAACAAGAAGTCCCTGCCCTCCTGGAGCCGACTTTTCAGCTCTGAACCTCTGAGCGCCTCTCCACTGTTCCAGCACTGGACACCAGGCCTGTTACCCAGAAGGTGGGTGCCCAGTATATGCCCATTGGTTGGAAAGGGTGCAGGTGGGTCATTACTGAGAGTTTGTCTATTACATTTGATTTTTTACCACTATCTTCTTGCAATGCCTTCACGTAGGGCAAATCACTGTTTTGAAAGAAATAATCTAGGAATTAAGCTTTACTGAAGGCCACTTAAGTGCCAGACAGTTGGGGCTTTACAGAGTCACCTGATTTAATTCTATAAACAAACCTGTGTAAATTGTATTACCCTCTTTCACTGATGACAACATTCAGAAACATAACATGACTTGTCTGAGGTCACACGACACAGCTAGTCAGTGTGAAAATGACTCAGAACTCACAGCTGGCTGGTATGGTGGCTCATGCTTGTAATCCCAGCACTTTGGGAAGCCAAGGCAGACAGATTGCTTAAGCTCAAGAGTTCAAGACCAACCTGGGCAACATAGTAAGACCCTGTCTCTACCAAAAATACAAAAATTAGCCGGGCAAAGTGGTGCACGCCTGAAGTCCCAGCTACTCAGAGGCTGAGATGGGAGGACTGCTTGAGCCTGGGAAGTGGAGGTTGCAGTGAGCTGAGATCATGCCACTGCACTTCAGTGCACTTCAGCCTGAGTGACAGAGCCAGACCCTGTCAAAAAAAAAAAGAACCCACGGTTACCTGACTCTAAAGTACTTATCTTTTCTGCCAGTTTGGGTTTTTGTGTATTTTGTTTGTTTGTTTTGTTTTGTTGAGTCTTCCTCTGTCGCCCAGGCTGGAGTACAGTGGCACAATCTTGGCTCACAGCAACCTCCACCTCCCAGGTTCAAGCTGTTCTCCTGCCTCAGCCTCCCGAGTAGCTGGGATTACCAGCATGCACCACCATGACCAGCTAATTTTTGTATTTTTAGTAGAGACGGGATTTCACCATATTGCGCAGTCTGGTCTCAAACTCCTGACCTCAAGTGATCTGCCCACGATGGCCTCCCAGTGCTGGGATTACAGGTGTGAGCCACTGTGCCCAGCCGGGTTTTGTTTTTAAAACTTTATCCCCAGCCACTAGAAGGGCTGTCCCTAGGGAAGCAGAAGCAGCCAGAGGACCACAAACTCACAGATTTTTTTTTTTTTTTTGAGACGGAGTCTCACTCTGTCACCCAGGCTGGAGTGGAATAGTGGCGCGTTCTCAGCTCACTGTAACCACTGCCTCCTGGGTTCAGACGATTCTCCTATGTTAGCCTCCTGAGTAGCTGGGATTACAGGCGAGTGCCACCACACCTGGCTAATTTTTGCATTTTTAGTAGAGATGGGGTTTCACCATGTTGGTCAGGCTGGTCTCAAACTCCTGACCTCATGATCTGCCTGCCTCGGCCTCCAATAGTGCTGGGATTACAGCTGTGAGCCACCGCGCCCAGCTAACTCACAAATTTTTTTTTTTTTTGAGGCGGAGTTTCGCTGTTGTTACCCAGGCTGGAGTGCAATGGTGCGATCTCGGCTCACCGCAGCCTCCACCTCCTGGGTTCAGGCAATTCTCCTGCCTCAGCCTCCTGAGTAGCTGGAATTACAGGCACGCGCCACCATACCCAGCTAATTTTTTGTATTTTTAGTAGAGATGGGGTTTCACCATGTTGACCAGGATGGTCTCGAGCTCTTGACCTCGTGATCCACCCGCCTCGGCCTCCCAGAGTGCTGGGATTACCGGCTTGAGCCACCACGCCCGGCCTAACTCACAAATTTTTTAAGGGCAATTATGTCTAAGAGAGGGGACGTGTAAGACAAGGTGCTTTCTCTCAACTTGCTCACTCTGTGGCCAGGCAGAACAAGACAACCATTCCTACAGGATTCTGCAGCTGGAATCCTTTGCCCATATTCCCAGGTCACATGGTTCCCCTTCCTGCAGCTGTCACCACATCTACCCAGTCAGGGAGATTCACAGCTGTGCAGAGCTCTCTCCATGGGCCAGGAGTGACTCAGTGGCAGGGCTCAGATCTGAATTATCTCTGGGTTTCCAGACTTCACATCCAGCCCTGTCCTTGGCTTGTGGAGGGTTCAGTGAGCATGTGAGAAAATGAACCGGCTTGGCAGAATGAGTGTGCCTGTTAATCTGGAAGCCGGAGAAGATGTAAAGTCATCTTGGGGCTGGGCACAGTGGCTCCTGCCTGCAATCCCAGCACTTTGGGAGGTTGAGGTGGGCAGATCACTTGAGGTCAGGAGTTCAAGACCAGCCTGGGCAACATAGTGAAACCCATCTCTACTAAAAATTCAAAAATTATCTAGCTGTGGTGGCATGCACCTGTAATCCCAACTACTCGGCAGGCTGAGGCAGGAGAATCTCCTGAACCCAGGAGGCAGAGGTTGCAGTGAGCCAAGATTACAGCACTGCAGTCCAGCCTGGGTGACAGAGAAAGACTTCGGCTCAAAAACAAACAAGGGCACCGGCCTCACCGCCAATCCCAGTGGTCAATTCTTTGTCCTCAGATCACCTGAGCCTGGGATGACTCCCAGGTGAATGGACAGATCATGGTGCCCCTAACTGTGGAGGAAGGAGGGGAAGTGCGCAGGGTCAGAGGAGGAGCCCCTAGGGAGTAAGGGAGTGGGGGAGGCTGCCCAGAGAGGACACTCCCACAACATATATTGGAATGTAAAGTGCAGGTGAGCAGCCTTGGTCAAGCTGGACATGACCAATGGTGGAGGGACCGTGCCTGAAGCATTGGGTGTGGACAGATGAGTGGTCCAGATGCTATGGACAGACAGCAGAGCCTTGGATGCCACCCGGGCAGTGACAGCCACAAGCTCAGGCCCAGGAGAGGCAGAGGAACCAGAAACCCCTTCCTCCAGCCCATCCTGAGGCTCATGTTCAGTGTGTAGGGAGGCCTGCCCAAATACCAGGGAAGCATGGCTGGGGAGGGATACTAGCTGCGTGGGCCTCCTGCTCCAGAGAGTGCTCTGCTCTGTATCTCTGCCGAGGCCCCAGCTGTGCAGTCCTGTGTGTTCTCTTCTTTCACTATGGATTCTGCTTGGGAACTCCCTTCCCATTACATCTCAGGGGATGACCTCTAGCCATCAAGTTCACACAGGTCACCCTCCATTGTCCTCAGCCCTGATCACTAGCTGCTGGGGCCCATAGGCTTATTGAGATGCTGCGTGACAGACTCCAGAAGCAAAGCCTAGACCCCACCCATCTGAGAAGCCCCAGACAGGCTCTATCCTCATCTGCCCCCTGCCAAAGATTAGCAGGATGAGGCCAAGTGCCATGATCTAAAGGTCCCACCAGATTCATGTGTTGAAGTTTAATCATGTGACAGAATTAACAGGTGGAGCCTTTAGGGGATGATTAAGTTATGAGGGCAGAGCCCTCTTGATGAGATTAGCAACGTTATGAAAAGGCCTGAGAGGCAAGTTCGTCTCACCCAACATGTGAGGACACAGCCTCCGTGATGGAGCAGCATCAAGGCACTGTCTCGGAAGTGGAGACTGGGCCATCACCAGACACCAAGCTTGATGGTGCCTTGATCTTGGACTTCTAAGCTTCCAGAAATGTGGGAAATAAATTTCTGTTGCTTGTGAGTGCCTCAGTCTGTGGTATATAGCAGCACAAAGGAACTAAGGCGCCAAAGCCAAGAGAAGGGTCACTTCTTGGCTTCTTGAACAACTGTCCTGGCCCTGGGTGGCTGTGTTGGTTGCAGATGGTTCTACTGACTCCATCTCCTTTCATCTTTTTTTTTTTTTTTGAGAGGGAGTCTGGCTCTGTTGCCCAGGTTGGAGGGCTGTGGCACAGTCTCGGCTCACTGCAACCTCCGCCTCCCCTGCTCAAGCAATTCTCGGCTTCAGCCTCCCGAGTAGCTGGGATTACAGGCACATGCCACCACCACGTCCAGCTACTTTTTTTTTTTTGTATTTTTAGTAGAGACGGGGTTTCACCATGTTGGCCGGGCTGGTCTCAAACTCCTGACCTCGTGATCCATCTGCCTCAGCCTCCCAAAGTGCTGGATTACAGGCGCCAGCCACTGCACTTGGCCTCATATCTTGCCCTTAGAAGCTCAGGATTTGTCATTTTTGTTTAGCCCACGTGATGCCTCCCTGGTTTGTGATTAGGCTGTGAGCTCCTTCATGGGTGGGCCTCTTTTGTGTCTTCTGTATGCCCCAGTGCCTCAGGGGTCACATATGCTCAGGGAATGCATGCTGAGAGTGAATAAACCCCCAGCCAATTGCAAGCTTTCTGGGCCTTGCCAGTGGGCCACAGCATGCCCTGGGGCAGGAGCTTCCTCCCTCTCCCAGGCTTCTGCTGGAAAGGAGTCCTCCTTCTCTTCTTTGCAGTGGGTGGGCAGACAGGCTCCCTGGTGGCTGCAGAACACACTCTGCTAGGACTTTTTGGCATTTATTTAAGACATGAGCTTGGCTTTGTGCATGCCGACAGCTCTGGACCCAGAGCCCAGCCCCAAGGGGAAGACTGTAGTTTTCCCACAGCAAGGGGCTGGGGCAGGGAAGGCAGGTTGGCCAGCTGGGGAATGATTCTCGAAACAAGGCTGGGCCCAGGGAGGGGTGCCACCCAGGCTTAACTGACAGAGGGAGGGGAGAAATGCGCAAACGTTTTATTCCTCCTGCCCATCTGCTTTCCTTTTTAAGACTGCCTCCAACAGATCGTCCAAGCACCCTTGAAGCCTTTCACAGGTTGCCCTCCGGTGGCCTCTTGGGGAATCACAACCTACCAATGGATTAAAGATTATATATATATATATTTTTTTTTTGCTGGAGTGCAATGGTGTGATCTCAGCTCACTGTAACCTCTGCCTCTCGGGTTCAAGCATTTCTCCTGCCTCAGTCTCCCGAGTAGCTGAGGTTACAGGCGTGTGCCACCATGCCTGGCTAATTTTGTATTTTTAGTAGAGAGAGACAGGGTTTCACACGTTATGTTGGTCAGGATTGTCTCAAACTCCCCACCTCAGGTGATCCACCCGCCTCAGCCTCCCAAAGTGCTGGGATTACAAGCATGAGCCACTGCGCCCGGCTGATTCTTGTCTGGTTCCAGCTAAGTTGCTAACCTGTGAGGCTGGCTGGCATCATTGGCATTTTACTGATAAAACCGAGGCCCAATGAGGTGGGATGACTCGCTCCAACTCAAAGTGACATCTCTTGAAACTAGGTCTGTCCTGCTGCCTCTAAGTCCCTTCTGAGTCCACAGAACTCTTGTCTCAAAAAATTGAAATGGCATAAAGGGTTTCCTTGGTTCCATTCTTGATCTGATGCATACCCTGTCTCTGTCGTCTCCTCCCATGCAGGTAATCAGATCCTGTTTGAACACTTCCAGCTGTGGTCGTCACCTCACATAGCATCCACTGGCATGCTGGCAGTGTTTGTAGGAAGAGGAGTAGTAATGGCCACTGAGACCAGAAGGTGGAACTTAGCTGGGAGGCTCTCCTTGGCCAGGGGGAGGTGAAAAGGCATAGAGCACAGGTAAGCACCAGTCGTGTGCGGTAGCATCATGCAGAGGCAGCCTGGGGGATTTTCATGGGAAAAATTTTGGTGGATGCTCCCTGTTCTGCCTGGATCTGGGGGTGCTCAAAGCCTACCACTTCCAGGAAACTTTTTCACTAGAGGGGTAATGAAGGCAAAACCTTGGGCTGAGGGGCTCACTGATTCCTGCACTACCTCCTCTTCCTCAGCCAGGTTGTCAGTTTGCACCCAAATGTGCATAGGCCTCTAGCCCCTTATTATTTATTTGATGGGAGACAGAGTTACGCTCTGTTGCCCAGGCTGGAGAGCACTGGCACAATCTCAGCTCACTGCAGCCTCCACTTCCTAGGTTCAAGTGATTCTCCTGCCTCGGCCTCCCGAGTAGTTGGGATTACAGGCATGTACCACCATGCCTGGCTAACTTTTGTATTTTTAGTAGAAACAGGGTTTTGCCCTGTTGGTCGGGCTGGTCTTGAACTCCTGACCTCAAGGGATCCACCCACCTTGGCCCCCCAAAGTGCAGGGATTACAGGTGTGAGCCACTGTGTCCAGCCCTCTGGCCCTTTAGAATTCAGAAAAACAAAAACCCAGGCTGGGGAATGCTGTGCTGGCCTGCAGTGGAAGGCAGTAGCTGCCAACTTACTATGTGCCAGGCACTGTGCTGGCGCTTTTCACATACAACCTCACTTAACCCACAGGCTCCTATAAGGTAGAAGCAACTACATTTACAGATGAGGAAACTTGTATCCAAGGTTAAGTAGGGAAAGGCAGTATTAAGCCATACGCCTTCAGAGCTTCAGGACTGTGTTCCAAACCACCGTCCGCTGTGCTGCTTCATGCCCCTGGGGCCTCGTGTCTTCATCTTTGCCTAGGAGGCCAGGGAAGGTGCAAATGATGTCCTGGCCTCCGGGCCTCTGTTCCAAGCTCATTACCACATCTCCATTGCAGGCTGGTACCGAGGCTCTGAAACACAAAGCGCTTCAAGCGTGATGGAGGGAGCTGCTTTATTATTAAACGGCATCGTTCCCAAGGAATGGCAACTCTCCACCTCGGCTGAAAACACAACCCGCCTAGAGAAGGTATCTCTTTCCAACTACTGTGCTTCTGACTTTAATCTCCAACCTCAACTGTTTCCCACCAAGACAATTTTTCTTTTTTTTTTTTTGGTAACAGGGTCTTACTTTGTCGCCCAGGCTGGCATGCAGTGGCACAATTATGGCTCACTGTAGTCTTGACCTCCCTAGCTCAAGTGTGATCTTCCCATTGAGCCTCCTGAGTAGCGGGGACCACAAGTACACACCACGCTTGGCTTTTTCTTTTTTGGGATGAAGTCTCACTCTGTTGCCCAGGCTGAAATGCAGTGGCACGATCTTGGCTCACCGCAACCTCCGTCTCCTGGGCTCAGGCAATTCTCCTGCCTCAGCCTCCTGAGTAGCTGGGATTACAGGCGTGTGCCACCACGCCCAGCTAATGTTTGTATTTTTAGTAGAGACGAGGTTTCACCATGTTGGTCAGACTGGTCTCGAACTCCTGACCTCGTGATCCACCCGCCTCGGCCTCCCAAAGTGCTAGGATTACAGGCATGAGCCACCACGCCTGGCCGGCTTTTTTTTTTTCCATAGAGACAGGGTCTCATTATATTTCCCAGGCTGGTCTCAAACTACTGGCCTAAGTGATCCTCCTGTCTCAGCCTCCCAAAGTAGTGGGATAACAGGCATGAGCCACTGTGTTCAACATTTTTCTTTTTCTTTTTTTGAGACAAAGTCTAACTGTCGCCCAGGCTGGATTGCAGTGATGTAATCTTGGCTCACTGCACCCTCCGCCTCCTGGGTTCAAGCGATTCTCCTGCCTCAGCCTCCGAGTAGCTGGGATTACAGGCACCTGCCAATGCACCCAGATAATTTTTGTATTTTTGATATTGACAGGGTTTCACTGTGTTGCCCAGGCTGATCTTTAACTCCTGACCTCATGACCTGCCTGCCTTGGCCTCCCAAAGTGCTGAGATTACAAGTGTGAGCCATCACACCCCACCAGACCTCTTTTTTTTCTTTTGCTAATGAAACAGTTAAGACAATTGTCCATTTTACTTTATTTGTTAAACTGCTAAAAAGTCATCAGGGGAAAACATTAACAAAAAACAAAATTGACAGAGATTTAAATATCAATGAAATCCATTTTTCATTCCTACACTGTTATGTGCCTAAAATGACTATCTCAGGGTAAGCCACCTGGCATCCCTGAGTTGTATGGGAAACATCACTCACAGCACCAGCTTCGCCAGGGCACATGGGGTGTGCACTGACATGAACCCTGGTTGGAGGGAGGGGAGCAGAGCGAGTAGAGAGTACAATGGAGCCAACACCTAAAGTTTGCTCTCATTTGACAATGAACACGGTGAGAGGGAGCCACTTACTGGTAACCATGCAGAACATGCCTTCTGCAGTTCATGGAGAGGCTACATGGGATCCAGGCCTGGAAGGTCACGTTACTTACCCTCAGGCATGTTTACATCTTCCCCACTGACTTCTACGCTCGTAAGAGACCACAGAAAACACAAAGCAGAGCACATCACCATGCCAGGATCACCACAGGACAAGGACAAGACAGACAGACCAACCAGGAATACCACTTTTAAGGGGAAGAAAAAGAGTAAAGCAGAAGGAAACCCAGAGCGACAAGGTGAAAGGAAAGGGAAGCATCTCTTTGTTCTCCATTGGCTGGTGGCTTTCTGTTCTCCGAAGTCAAGACTTCCTAAGTTGGTTTTCTTCTTCCTCCTCTTTATTTTAAAGAGTTCCAACACAGTTCCTAGAATAGTTCATGGTTTTCAGCTCTTGCTATAAAACTCGAACATTAAAATCAAATCAATCCACAGAGGGCTGGGAGGAGACTAAGCCCAGTATTGCCTTAAAATGAAACTTAAGCTTGTTTCGACACCAAATTTGTGCTCCCAAAGTGTAGGGGTAGGGTGGAGTTGTAGAGTCCACCAACCAAGTGAAGGATGGAAATACGAATGAAAACACAGAACCCTCTCTGCTGCATAACCTGTGAAATGAGAGAACAGGAAGCTCTGTCCAAGAGGGTAGGGAAAGACTAAAATTCTTACATTAGGTCAACAAGGTGGCCGGTAAGTCACTAGGACACGGGAGCTCTCAAAAGGCACACTTACAGGAATGGAAGGGGTTAAAGCTTCAAGTAGAAACAAAATGAATCTTAAATACTTAAATACTGATAAATATTTGCTTCAGGTTCTCCTGAGGAATAAAAAAACACATTTAGCCTCATTTTTTCCTCAGTGAATTTTAAGACAAAATTGGTATCATGTGAAAAATGGAGTCAATGGTCCACATCTGATCTGACCGCAGCATCCACAGCGTTGGGGAAATGCTCACCTCAGCTCAGACGCCTCAAGTCCCACTGCACAGGTGGCTTCAGGAGGCCTGAGGAGACAATCGCCTTCACTGTGTTGAGTCACTTTCCCATGGTACACACCCACAGTGCCCAGGAGCTACCACGACAGCGGGAGCAAAGTAGATTTTTCTTAAAAAGCTGTAAGCAAACAAGCCCGGTTCCAGGCAGTGTGGGTCATGCTGGAATTCAATGGGGTTCAGAGGAACCAGATTACTTTCTAAGACAATCAACATCTCTGTTGCCTGCCTGCTTGGGGGAAGTGGAAGGAATCGACACGTTAAAGGCTGGCTTAGGAAGGCCACAGGACTAAGGGAAAGACCACAAGGTTGAGATTCTCAACTTTCAGGTTCCTAATAGACTTTATACTTAGATAGGAACTACTGAGTTTGGAGGCACTGTCCATGCACAGACACAATGTCCTACATGAGGTATAGCAACAGCGGGAACACCTGACTTGCTAACCTTCTGGCCCAGCTTTCCCTCGTAAATAAGGACCCCACATGGTCTTTGCCAAGCAAGGACTGGCAACAGCGCCAGAGCCTGAAAGTCAGGAAAGTGCGGAGCTCCAAGTAGTTGGATGCCGCGTAAGTAGACGCAAGTCGTTACCTCATCGAAGGGAACAGAGCACTTTCTGGAACACATACCCCTCCCCACAAGCTAGGCTTGGCACCAAGGTGGCTTTCCTACCAAGACCACATTGTAAAAGCTAATGGCTAAGGGAAGGGATTCACATGATGTAACAGGAGAAAACACACTTATGGGTGCACTTAGGCTGCTAATGCTGGCTGAAAACCAGGACCCAGGACCAGCTGCGGTAGGCTTGTGCCTGAGAAACGCTAGTAAGAAAAAGGGGAGTGTCAGGGTGGGAAAGGTGATGTTTTGAGGTTTAAATCCTAAGGGCAAAACAAGAATCCTCTTTCCACTGATGAGAAATCACCAAAAATCCCTATTTAAATGGTGCCATTTGAAATTAATTTATTTTGACATCTCCTATGCCCAGGCCACGGCTGAGACTAGCAACTTTCTGTATCAAGCAAAGAAATGCTCTACTTGGTTATATGTTAATCTCAGAAATGAAGTGAAAGTAAAAACCCAGGGCCTATTTGAGTGACACATGAACAAGACAAGCACAAAGGATGGAACTGTTCCTGAGGTCAGCCATGCGTCAAGAAGTCAAGTACACGATTCTCAACTCCATCACCTGCCAACAGCCAGAAAGAGGAATGTTTGTCACAAGGAAAAAAAATCTCTAAAAAGAACTGTTATTGGAATTCCCTTCCAGAATCAATTTCCACATTCTACAAATATGGGATGAGGATGCTCAATGTGCTTTGGAAGTAAAAAGCCCATAGGGAAAAAAAAACAGTCTCTTTTGATGCTTTAAAGATTTCTCATAATATTGGCATCTTAGAATTCCCTCCTAGTGACACCAGGGAAAGGGTCCACAAGTATTTCTAAGAAGCTTCTGATTTCTGGGCTGGGTGTGGTGGCTCACACCTATAATCCCAGCACTTTGGGAGGCCAAGGCTGGCAGATCACCTGAGGTTAGGAGTTTGAGACCAGATTGACCAACATGGAGAAACCCTGTCTCTACTAAAAATACAAAATTAGCTGGGCATGGTGGTGCGTGCCTGTAATCCCAGCTACTTAGGAGGCTGAGGCAGGAGAATCACTGGCACCTGGGAGGCGGAGGTTGCAGTAAGTCGAGATCACGCCACTGCACTCCAGCCTGGGAGATAAGAACAAAACTCCGTCTTAAAAATCGAAAAGCTTCTGATTTCTGTAGGCACCTGAGCTTTGAAAAATAAACAGAAAGTGAGAAGGATTTAGGGCTTCAAAAAAAAATCCACATATGCAAAAAAAAAAAAAAAAAGTAAAGGGAAAAAGCAGCCTGTAAGTGAACGGAAAAGGCCGTTTCCAAGTCCCATGTGCTAAGAGAAGAAAAAGAAGAAGAAATATGTTTTTTGGCAACTTGCAACCAAATACAATTGATTGTCAGAAATTTCCACAATCAGACACAAAATGTTTTCTGAGACATGTAAGAAGCACTCCAAAGACCAATGGACACTAGGCGTTCAGATGTCGGCTGCATAAACAGTATTTCACAATGACCCGACACACAAATGTGGAATAAAATCCCTTGTTGGGTAACTTTCCTCAGCCATAAAGGGCAGAAGGGGGTCAGGCACTGGCATTTCTACAGAGTTGTCACAGGTCCTCTGTGGTTTTAAGAGGAGAAGGGGAAGAACAGTTACTTTTACCCTGCCAGCACCTGAAGCATGAGTCTAAAAACCTCCACCTTTGCAACTTAATATGCCCTTTCATTTTTTAACTCCAAGAAGGCAACATAAAGATTTACAGGGGGGCTCATCAGCTTCTTTTGGAAAGTTACTGATGTTAGTTAGTCTGTTCCCTAACTTCTTGGTCTAGTTACCAGCAAAGTAGAAAAAGGCAGCACAGCCCCTGCTAAAACACAGCAACAATTTTATCTGAATCAGGATGGAGATCTCTCCCTTTTTGTAAACAGAGTTGGCTATATAATATATATATATATATAATTTTTTTTTCTTAATGGAGATTTGATCCCAGCCTGGAGTGACTTCCGCTGGGAATGAAACAGTTTTGGCTTCTGGGAGTAATGTTTTCCCAGTTCTTAGTCCAAATGCTTACACACTGGAAAATTCCAAATTAAAAGCCACAGAAAAGGAAAGGGGTTTAGAACACATTATCTCTTTGCTCGTACAAAGTACAAAGCGTTTGTTTTTGGATAGTACTTCACATTCTGTTTCTTGTCCATGAGTCCTCCAAATATGATGAGTTCACCCCTGCCTTGTACCACGGTATGTAGGCTGGTTTCAGGAGGTCCGACGACAGAACTGCTATTAAATACTTTCCATTTGACCCGCCCCTTCTCCTTGGTGTCTTTAATGTCCAGCACATACATTTGCATGGGCTTGCAGTTCATACTCTGGTATAGGGGTTTGCCAACATTTAGGGACTGTGGTGGGTGGTGGCCCAGGCGGCGGGCAATGGGAGGTAAGGAATGTCCATCTCCTTGGGCCGGCCCTGGGCGAGGGATGGGCACTGTTTCTCCACTGCTCAAGCTCTGGCTCCCAGGAGAGCCTGGAGAAGACCCACGAGGAGGGCTTAGTGCTGCAGAGGCTGAGGGGCCTTTGGAGGACATCACTTTGATGGCTTCCAGACTCCGACGCAGGGCACCTGGGGAGACGGCCCCTGCAAGGGCACTGGCCACGTGAGGTGGGGTATGCACACCATTTGTCTGTTCAGGAGGGTGTCTCATACTTCCCCCAACTGTCCTGTTGTCCATGCTATCCATAGGATTGCTACCGGAAGCAGGTTTCAGATCCCAATTCAGATCTATGGATCCTAATCGCAGATCTTTCTGATCTGGTAGCGATCCTCGTCGGGGGGCCAAAGAAAGTCCCATTTTTAGGTCACATCCTTCAGCAGCAGACGGAGTACTTGGAGATACTGCCTGTACAGGACTGTCCAAAGAAGAGCCACCCACAGCTGCTGTTCCTGGAGACAAACTCCCACCATTGAGGATAGGAGAGCCATCTCCTCTGGCTGGGGAAAGGCTCCCTTCCCGGGAACCTGAAGGAGTCTGCCTTTGAGCCCTGGGTCTCAGTGTTCCCCAGCGGCCATTAACACAAGGAGCTTCATCCATGCTTCTTACTGGAGACTGAGAGCGGTACTCGCGGGTTTCGGGAACTAGAGCTGGAGGAGTGGCACTGATAGGTGATGGGCGAGAGTTCAAACTGGGGCTGAGTGGGGCTCTCCCACTAGGAGCCTGGCTGAAGACCACCACACACTGTCCCACCTGGAAGACAAAGGACCAGTGCTCACAGACTCTTCTATGATTCTGATTGTTCATTCAACTGTTAAACATTTTAACATGAGCATCTACAATATGCCTGGCATTTTGTAGGTACCTGAGATATGAAGATGAAAAGGATGTAGTCTGCTCTCTAGGCTAGAAGTCAGACATGGGAACAATTCTTGCTCTGCGTGACATATGCTGTCATTAGAGTGATGTTTATAGAATGGGTGGGGTGAAGGGAACAATCAGTTTTTGTTAGAAGAAGGACTCCAGGGAAAGTTTCACAGACAGATGCTTAAAGTTGGGACTTACTGAATGAGTGGGGCCCCCATAAGTTTTCCCATTTAGTGAGAAATGCCAAAGGAGCTATGGCTAATGTTCACCTCTTTTGTGATACCAAGGTGTTTTCTATTTTTGTACAAATTTCTTTGAAACCCAACAAAGTAATTTTGTTTTCCAATTGAGGACCTGTCCTCCTGCTGGCCTGTCAGCTCCCTGCTTACCCGGCAAGCTGGATGACACCACAGTTCTGGGGCCCCATGCTCTTCATTTTCTACCTTGAGTGGCTGCCAGGCCCAAGGACCAGAATGCATGTGCAACAACCAAGCATCCTTGAACAACTGTAAGAGAAAAACAGTAACAAGAGTCAGGTGTGATATGTGTTCCAAAACACACACACAGAGTTGCAGTCTCAAAGCTGTTCTGTTCGGTCTTGAAAGGATATGGGCTCTTCAGAAGGAGAAGAAAAATCCTCAGTTAATTATTCAGTTGTGCATGCATCCATGTATGCTTTCATTCATCACATATTACCACTGGCTTAGCACATGGCATTGTGCTTGTGACCCATGAATCAACTGTAAGTGGTTTTGACTCTTGTGCACAATGTTATGTGTGTTGGGGATTGAAGGAGAGAGAAAGAATACATATCCACCCACACCTTTCTGAATCTGCATTCTTAGATTCTGTGTGAACTCTGGCAGTTATCAACCTCCTTTTTTGTCCCACCGCCCTCTCCCCTTTGGAAAAATGATAGCAGTAAACCTTATAGCTTAGGAGGAAATAGGAATAGGAAGAATACAGATATGAATATTAAAGAGACAAATATTTCTGATGAAAAGGATCCCTCAACCCTAAAAAAAACAAACAGAAACAAAGGCCAGAGAATACAAAGGCTATACCCAAAAAGCATTCCCTAAATTAAAATGCCACGGAAATAGTCCTGTATACGCCTACAAAATAAGACAGGGGAAACAGGCTTTGGATACTTAGCAGCAGGCATATGGGATGCCACAGAAGCAATACTCACAGCATTGGGACCACCACACCCTCCGAGGATTAAGATAGTTGCATCGTCTATGACAATCTGGGGAAGGAAAGACATTGAAAATAAACCTACAAAGACACAGGTTTCTGACTTTTCTGTGCTTCACTGGTATATGAAAATAGCCTACCTAGCTCCCAAATGGGAATGGTCTAGTTACCATAACCTCTCTGTTCTCCTAAAAACATGCCGATTCTGATCCCTGTGAACAAACTACTGATAGTTCACCTGAAAGGATACATTCTTTGTTGATCAAATATTAACATGGATGTCAACCATGTAAAATGCAGGATTCTTCTGAGAAATGACACAGCAAAGTAAATGCTTTGGGAAGGAGCATAATATAAAACCACTATAAATAATATGACCCATCAGGAGTTGAAAAATAAATACCATTAAAAAAGAATGACACATTTTCTTTGGCTTAGTGTATATTGGCATCTTACCTGACTCCCTCCTCCCTCTCCCGTCCTAACTGAAAGACGCTACAGTGTTTGCTGAACAGTTATTTTAATTCCTGAGCACCTGAGATTGGCCACCTCGAGGATGAGGACTGGGGCCGGAGATGTTCGGCTTGGACCACGCCCACTGCTCAAGGTCAAGGACCCAGACATCATTGCTCCTGTGAATTAAGGACAGAAGGATAAAGACCACAGTGTGGCTGGGGAGTCCCACGTGCCTGTGCCCATCTGGCGGACTTGCACCATTTTTACTTTCACAGACTGCAGGCTGGAGGAGGTTTTAGAGATGGCCTGTTCAGGGTTCAGGGCCTTCAGAACCAGAAAGACCATGCTGCTGAATCCCAGCTCTGTTCTCTGAACAAGTCATTTAATTTTCTCTACCTCTGGCCTTATCTATAAAATTAAAAATACTGTTACTACTCTGAAGAGCTGATATAAATGAAGGGACATTTTTTTTTATTTTTTTGAGACAGAGTTTCGCTGTTGTTCCAGGCTGGAGTGCAATGGCACGATCTCGGCTCACCGCAACCTCCGCCTGCTGGGTTCAAGCAATTCTCCTGCCTCAGCCTCCTGAGTAGCTGGGACTACAGGCACGCACCACCATGCCCAGCTAATTTTTGTATTTTTGGTAGAGATGGGGTTTCACCTCGTTGACCAGGATGGTCTCGATCTCTTGACCTCGTGATCCACCCGCCTTGGCCTCCCAAAGTGCTGGGATTATAGGTGTGAGCCACCGCGCCCGGCCAGGAAGGGACCTTTATAAAGATGCCCAACAAAGTGTTATGGTCCTGGTTAGCACTTACACTGTATTTTTCTTCCCCTACTTTCCCTAGCAGTCATCCTGAGACATTCCCTCTGCTCTTTCCACAAGGCCTCATCTGAGCCATGTCTGCATCCACAAACTAGTACCTGATGAGATGATGAATTTGTAACCATCTATTAACTAAAGTAAAAGCAGATGAGTAAAAAAATAGTTAATTGGTGACAGCAGGAAATAGATACTCGTCAAGCTATAGTCTTTTGAAAGTAAAAACACAAGGAAGAGAAAAAATGATTCAAAAGCCAGCTTAATCATTGTCCAGGAGTTAAAAGCTTTATCGATTCTGGCTACAAAAAGTAATTTTACAACGGCTAATGAAAGCTGCAGTTTTATCAAGGACACACTGGCATCTCTAATCCTCAAGGGACAAACAAGACAAGGATAGACTCCTGGATGGCAGCATCTCTTTTATGGTCATTTAAGGTCATTGATTCACAAATAGGAATAAAGGAATAATAGTTCTAACATCTGAAGTCCTAAACTCTCTCACTGGGAGAGTAGCTCCTATCATGTCTCTCCATAACTGTTTTAAAGTCTGAAGATGGAAATACCCTAAGGGAGGACAGGAGTGGGATGGTCTTGCTGCTGACAGCTCATCAACTTCTACTTCAGAGCACAGTGAGAATGACCACGACTGCTGCTACACTGAATCGACAGACAGTGATACAGATGGAATGCTCTGGCTCTTGGCTATGGCTTGAGCTGACCAGTTATGGCCAGAAGTGGAGAGGACAGAAGGTAGGGAGAATGACCTCACAGAAGTGTCACGCCTGACACAGTTTTCTTGCTCCTACCCAATCAATAATGCATCTTTTTTTTTTTTTTTTAAATTCCCCTGCCTCAGCCTCCTGAGTAGCTGGGATTACAGGCACCTGCCACCACGCCCCGCTAATTTTTGTATTTTTAGTAGAGATGGGGCTTCACCATGTCAGCCAGGCTGGTCTCAAACTCCTGACATCAAATGATTCGCCTGTCTCAGCCTCCCAAAGTGCTGGGATTATAAAAATTAGCTGGTCGTGGTGGTGGGTGCCTGTAATCCCAGCTACTTAGGAGGCTGAGGCAGGGGAATTTAAAAAAAAAAAAGGGGGATGTATTGTGGATTGGGTAGGAGCAAGAAAACTGTGTCAGGCATGAGCCACTGTGCCCAGCCTTTTTTTTTCTTTTCTTTCCTTCTTTTTTTCTTTCCATGCCCTTTACAGGTGGTTCAACCAATCCATCACATTTGGAGGGCCCACTATTTCCACTTGTCCTATCAATCTCCCCCCTTCTCCTCTAAAGCCCAAAAGGATAGGAGCTGGGTAATAAAATAAGTAAAAGCGCTCTGTTTCTCGGAGTTGGCCTTCTGTAGGCACAGTACAGCAGGCAAGGCAGAAGTTCCATCAGAATTTGATCCCACTGAATAAAACCATGTGTCAAAGAGATGCTATACAACTATTTTTTTTTTTTTTTTTTTTTTTTGAGACGGAGTCTTACTCTGTCATCCAGGCTGGAGTGCAGTGGTGCGATCTTGGCTCACTGCAACCTCCGCCTCCCGGGTTTGAGCAATTCTCCTGCCTCAGACTCCCAGATAGCTGCGATTACAGGCATGCACCACCATGCCAGGCTAATTTTTTGTATTTTTAGTAAATACGAGGTTTCACCATGCTGACCAGGCTGGTCTCGAACTCCTGATCTTGTGAGCTGCCTGCCTGGGCCTCCCAAAGTGCTGGGATTATAGACATGAGCTACCATGCACAGCCACAACTATGATTTTATAGATCAAATTTCCTAACTTACTGGTCTGTGATTAAGGGATCAAAGAACAGAATGCTAGGATGAGGTAACTAATTCGATTAATTAGAGCCATGCTCAGGAATACCGACCCTAACTCACTTTTTTTTTTTTCTTGAGATGGAGTCTTATCTGTTGCCCTGGCTAGAGTGCAATGTCAAGATCTTGGCTCACTGCAACTGCCACCTCCCAGGTTCAAGTGATTCTCCTGGCTTAGCCTCCTAACTGGGACTACAGGCGTGTGCCACCATGCCCTGCTAAATTTTGTATTTCTAGTAGAGATGGAGTTTAGCCATGTTCACCAAGCTGATCTGGAACTACTCACCTCAGGTGATCCACCCGCCTTGGCCTCCCAAAGGGCTGGGATTACAGGCGTGAGCCACCCTGCCTGGCCCCTAATTCACAATTTTAACCGTTATTCCCAGGAGTATTTACCTCTGGGCTCATATGGAACAAACCAAATGTACTTACATTTGCCGGGATCCTAAAGAGCCACCAAAGACAATCATTTTATCATCTATCACACAGGAGGAGTGGCCAGCCATGGGAGGTGGCCCATGGGTTGTCACAATGCAGTTCCACCTAATGTAAAAAGACAGGAGGAAGCCAAGAAGTCAGCACCACACACTTTGTATTTAAGGTGAAAAACAGTAAGTAGGCATCCATTTAAAATGATAATGCTACCACCTTCAGCAGAGATTTGTTGGGCTAATAAATGGCATAAGGTATTTATGCCTTTCCTACAAACTTGGAACAAGTTTGCTTAAAGTTATCTTCACTTTCAAACTCTGAATGTAAATGGTCTGGAGGGAGAGAGATGAGAAGACAATGACAAGGGACAAGATCATGGCTTCCTGGCTGCTTTGGCTGGTTTGCTGACAGAGCGCCACTTGCCACCTGCTGCCTGTCCATGGTCCTGATCAGTAACAGCTAACAAGCACTATGTACTAAGTATTCCATTACAAGAAACAGCAGCTGCTGTCATTAAAAAATATGTTTGAATAACAATTGAGACACAGGAATTGTCTTGGAGACATAGTCAGGAGTAAGAAACCATCTGCATCTACAGCACTCCCGGAGTGTTAGCAGCCAAAGGTGAAGGGCTCGCTGTTCTTAACTGGCTCGTTCGCTTTTCTTGGAAGAGGAATAAATCTCTTCTATTTTTCTCTTTAGAATAAGGGTCCTAAGTGCAGAGTTCTAGGATTCCTATAAACTCTCTAAAACTGTTGGTAAAATCTGTGTATATGTACATTTTTCCTCTCCCAGGAACAGAGTCCACAGCTTTCCATCTAATTCTCAAAAGGACTCCTGACGTAAAAAACAAAGAAGCCACTGATTTAAGGCCTTTTCTTCCAGATTTAAAGAGTTTATCTGTTACTTACCAGTTTTTAGAGGGGGAGTAAGTGTGTATTTCATCAAAGAATCTCTCTGGCTGATGTAGGGGATAAGGGCTTGGCCGCGTCCAGCCACCAAACAGCACTAGCAAGTCCTTGTACACGACCAGAGTTGCACCAGCTTTGGGGGAAGGATAGGAGCCTGGAAAAGTCAGTAACACCATGGTTAGGGTTTAAGGTCTCACAACAATCCGTAGTTAGGCTTTCCATAGATCACCTTTCCCTGGAAGAGTAACAAAAGGGGAACCAATATTAGAAAACACAGGGGAAAGGGTTTGAGAGTCAAGAGAGAAAATCATCACTAATTCACACCTCTTTTATTATTAACACAGAGAAATCTGAGAGGAAAGTTACTTAGCCTCTCTCATGTTTATAATTTGCTCACCTAAAATTAGGGATGAGAGTACCTACCTCATAAGGCTGGTTTGAGTATGAAATAGTATATTTAAAGCACCTAACACAATGCCTGGCACATAGTAAGTGCTCAATAAATGAGCACTCCTTCCCATCCCTTTAACCACAGAGGTCACAAAGAAAAAAAACGCAGAGGATTCACAGAGAAATATAGAGAGAGACTGGATGTCTGGATGCAACTTAAAAATAACTTGTTACAGAACAGAACACAAGTAAAAAAGGAGGCAGAATGCAATTCTGATTTGTCCTATGAGTCAAATGTTAACACAGGGACCTCTAGGCCCCTAGCTATGGGCTTCACATAACCAGAGAGCCTCAGCCTAGCACAAATGGGGCAGACTTTCAAGGCTTGGTGTGAAGGAATTCCAATGAAACCATGAGCCTTACACCAAATACCGTCTAGGCTGGACCTCTGGCCTATACTGACTAAATTCTGAAGAAAAAAAAAACCCCAAAGCTTGGCTTATGCTGGAAACTTTGGGAATAACAGGAGCATAATTTTTCACAATCTATTGTCTTTGAAATAACAACTGCTATTTCTCCCCATTGCTTACTCTACATGTCACCTTTAGTTTACTCAGGACCAAAGTAACTTGTGTGTTTTTTTTGTTTTTGTTTTTGTTATTTTTTTTGAGATGGAGTCTCACTGTGTCGCCCAGGCTGGAGTGCAATGACACGATCTCGGCTTACTGCAACCTCTACCACCTCTTGGGTTCAAGTGATTCTTCCACCTCAGCCTCCTGAGTAGCTGGGATTACAAGCACCTGCCATCATGCCCGGCTAATTTTTGCATTTTCAGTTGAGATAGGGTTTCACCATGTCGGTCAGGCTGGTCTTGAACTCCTGACCTCAGATGATCCGCCTACCTTGGCCTTCTACAGTGTTGGGATTACAGGTGTCAGCCACAGCACCCAGCCAAGAATATACTTTTTTTTTTTTTAATCTTTTTTTTTTTCTTTTTGGTTAAAGCTGCAGTGGCCGGGAGCGGTGGCTCATGCTTGTAAATCCCAGCACTTTGGGAGGCCGAGGTGGGCGGATCACAACGTCAAGAGATTGAGATTATCCTGGCCAACATGGTGAAACCCCATCTCTACTAAAAAATACAAAAATTTCGGCCGGGCGCGGTGGCTCAAGCCTGTAATCCCAGCACTTTGGGAGGCCGAGATGGGTGGATCACGAGGTCAAGAGATCGAGACCATCCTGGTCAACATGGTGAAACCCCGTCTCTATTAAAAATACAAAAAATTAGCTGGGCACGGTAGCACGTGCCTGTAATCCCAGCTACTCAGGAGGCTGAGGCAGGAGAATTGCCTGAACCCAGGAGGCAGAGGTTGCAATGAACAGAGATCGCTCCATTGCACTCCAGCCTGGGTAACAAGAGAGAAACTCCGTCTCAAAAAAAAAAAAAAAAAAAATACAAAAATTAGCTGGGCATGGTGGCCCTCGTCTGTAGTCCCAGCTCCTCAGGAGGCTGAGGCAGGAGAATTGCTTGAACCCAGGAGAGAGAGGTTGCAGTGAGCCAAGATCGCGCCACTGTACTCCAGCCTGGCGCCTGGTGACAAAGCGAGACTCTGTCTCAAAAGATAGATAGATAGATAGATAGATAGATAGATAGATAGATAAAAAGCTGCAGGATTCATTTTCAAAGGATATCTTAAACAGAAGGAATCCTAACACTACATTAACCTGACAGCAGTTGAGGTGCCCCAATCTAGGTGGAGAGCTTTGTTTCCCCTTTCAGTAACAGGTTATGGGAACACTGTTTGAAAAGCCCTGCTCAAATTGCTTTATTGGTGTCACTTAGAAAGTCTCCAGGTTGAGAAGGTAGAGCGGAGGACTGTCTTTCTTGTGATCTAACTTAGGGGAATAATATGATTTACTGAGAAGGTTCCAGTCCTCAAGGTTACAGGGTGAGCATCTAAGAACACCATGTGGCATCAACTATTCTTCTTTTCTTTCTTTTTTTTTTTTTTGAAGTAGGACCTTGCTGTTACCCAGGCTGGAGTGCAGTGGCACAATCACGGCTCACTGCAGCCTCGACCTCCTGGGCTCAAGGGATCCTCCCACCTTAACTTCCCAAATACCCAGGACTATAGGCAAGCACCACCACACCCTACTAATTTTTAAATTTTTTTGTAGCGATGGAGTCTCCTTATGTTGCCCAGGCTGGTCTCAAACTCCTGGGTTCAAGCAATCCTGCAGCCTTGGCCTTCCAAGTGTTGAGATTACAGATGTGAGCCACTGTGCTTGTCCATGTCAGCTATTTTGAGTACTTTCCTAATAAAACCTACACTAGGCTGGGGGCGGTGGCTCCCATCTTTGGGACGCAGCACTTTGGGAGGCTGAGGTGGGCGGATCACCTGAGGTCGCGAGTTCGAGACCAGCCTGACCAAAATAGAGAAACCCTGTCTCTAGTAACAATACAAAAATTTAGCCGGGCATGGTGACACATGCCTGTAATCTCAGCTACTTGGGAAGCTGAGGCAGGAGAATCACTTGAACCCAGGAGGCAGAGGTTGCAGTGAGCCAAGAACGCGCCATTGCACTCCAGCCTGGGCAACAAGAGTCAAACTCCATCTCAAAAAAATAAATGAAAATAAAAATAAAATAAATAAAACTGACACTAATCCCAGATCACAGGATCTGACCATAGAAATGAGCCTGCCTGCCTGCCTCCCTCCCTCCCTCCCTCCTTTCCTTCTCTCCTTCCCTCCCCTTCTTTCTTTATTTTGAGACAGGGTCTAGCTTTGTCACCCAGGCTGGAGTGCAGTGATACAATCATGGCTTACTGCAGCCTTGGCTTCCCCAGGCTGAAGCAATCCTCCTACCTCAGCCTCTCGAGTAGCAGAGACTACAGGCACATAATACCATATCCAGCTAATTTAAAAATTTTTCGATAGAGATGGGGGGTCTTGCTATGTTGCTTAGGCTGTTCTCAAACTCTTGGCCTCAAGTGATCCTCTACCTCAGTCTTCCAAAGCTCTGGGATTATAGGCATTATTCACCTCACCCAGCCAGAAATCTTCTCTAGCAACAGTTATCACATCAATCTGAAGTGCTGAGACACTGGCTGAGGTATTCTCTACCCTCAAATCCCACAAAAATAGTGACTAAAGAGGCTGTTGTCCTTCATATAGCCTTATTGCATCCTGGTCAAAAACTTTTACCTCCCCAAGGGATCTATCTTCTAGCCCAATTAGAAAACCTAAGTAATCTAACAGTCTAGTTAAAATACAACTGTTGCTCTAAAATTATTTAATTTGTGAAAAGCAGACAAAGCTTCCAAGTTCTTGCCTCTAACTTGGAAATTATCAGTACTATGAAACAGTTAGAAAAAAGAAACAACAAAGTAGTAATGGAAACTTTGTTTCAGCAAAGTAGTAATGGAAACTTTCTAGACTAGAATGTGGATTTGGATTTCAGATACTGGGTTTAAAGAAATTATAAATGCAATGTAAGAATATATCCCTCTTGCCGGGCACAGTGGCTCACACCTGTAATCCCAGCACTTTGGAAGGCCGAGGCAGGCAGATCACTTAAGGTCTGAAGTTTGAGACCAGCCTGGCCAACATGGTGTGAAATACCGTCTCTACTAAAACTACAAAAATTAGTGAGACGTAGTAGCCCACACCTGTTATTTCCAGCTACTTGGGAGGCTGAGGCACGAGAACTGTCTGAAACTGGGAGGCACAGTTGCAGTGAGCTGAGACTATGCCACTGCACTCTGGCCTGAGTGAAACAGCAAGACTCCGTCTCAAAGAAAAAATAAGAAAAAAATGAAAGAAGCCGGGTGTGGTGCCTCACACCTGTAATCCAAGCACTTTGGAGGCCAAGGTGGGTGGATCACCTGAGGTTGGGAGTTCAAGACCAGCCTGACCAACACAGTGAAACTCCGTCTTTAAAAAAAGAAAGAAAGAAAAGAAAAGAAAAAGAAAAAAAAGAAAGAAAGAATATGTATATTTTAAGGGGAAAAATATCATAGAATTTGAAAAAGTGTTGGTAAAATATAGCATATATAATGAAACTAGAGGAGAGACTGCACTTTAGATCTGTACTGCCCAACACAGTCACCATTAGCCACGTGTTGCCAGTGGTTCCCAAACTGAAGAGCACAGATGTAGGACATTTCTTTTTTCTTTGAGATGGAGTCTTGCTCTGTCGTCAGACTGGAGTGTAGTGGCATGATGTTGGCTCACTGTAACCTCTGCCTCCTAGGTTCAAGCGATTCTCCTTCTTCAGCCTCCTGGGTAATCGGGATTTATAGGCACGTGCCACCACACCCCGCTATTTTTTTTTTTTTTTTTTTTGAGGCAGAGTCTCACTCTATCCAGCAGGCAGTGGTGAGATCTCAGCTCACTGCAACCTCTGCCTCCCAGGTCAAGCGATTCTCCAGCCTCAGCCTCTGGAGCAGCTGGGATTACGGCAACCACCACCACGCCCAGCTAATTTTGTATTTTTAGTAGAGATGGGGTTTCACCATGTTGGCCAGGCTGGTCTTGAACTCCTGACCTCAAGTGATCAACATGCCTTGGCCACCCAAAGTGCTGGAATTACAGGCATGAGCTACCACGCCCGGCTTAATTTCTGTATTTTTAGTAGAGACAAGGTTTCACCATGTTGGCCAGGATGGTCTGGATCTCCTAACCTCGTGATCCACTCGCCTTGGACTCCCAAAGTGTTGGGATTACAGGCATGAGCCACTGTGCCTGGCCTGGACATTTCTATTATTGCAGAAAGTTCTATTGCATAGCGCTATTTTAGAAAAAGGTTTTAACTTTGTAAACAGTGTGCCTATGCTTGGGGAGTATGGGAAAGTAGTAGGGATAGATGAATGACTTAACTCCAAGAGAAATGGCAATTATCGTTACTGTAACTCTATTATTACTGCTAGTAATATTTATTAAGCATCTGCATCTATTATCTACTGTGCAGTTTTTGTTTGTTGTTGTTTTTTGAGACAGAGTCTTGCTCTGTTGCCCAGGCTGGTGTGCAATAGCATGATCTCAGCTCATTGCAACCTCTACCTCCCAGGTTCAACTGATTCTCCTGTCTCAGCCTCCCTCAGTATCTGGGATTACATGCATATGCTGCCTTGCTAAGCTAATTGTTTGTATTTTAGTAGAGTGGGGTTTAACGGTGTTATGCAGGCTGGTCTTGAACTCCTGAGCTCAGGCAATCCACCTGCCTTGGCTTCCCAAAGTGCTAAGATTACAGGAGTGAGCTGCTGTGCCCAGCGCAATTACTACACAGCTTTTTAAGTGGTTTGCATGTATTAATTAATTTAATCCTTCTAAAACTCCTAATTTTATTCCTATTTTACAGATAACAAACCTGCACTGCAACCTCTACCTCCCAGGTTAAAGCAATTTTCCTGGCTCAGCCTCCAGAGTAGCTGAGATCAGAGGCGTGTGCTACCACACCAAGCTAATTTTTGCATTATTAGTTGAGACGAGGTTTCACCATGTTGGCCATGCTGGTCTCCAACTCCTGACCTCAGGTGATTCACCTACCTCGGCCTCACAGGCATGAGCCACCGCACCCAGCCAACAATAAGTTTTATATGGAGTAGCTGTAGATAAAATACCCAGTCCTAACTTTGAAAAACTGCCCCTATGTGCATGTAATTCATTCCAAACAGCAGCTATAGTTATTGTACATAGGTTTAATAGATTTTTATTAAAACACATATATTTTCCACAATAGCACCTGAGTAATTAGAAATCTTGAACACAGAGAGTACTCTGGCAATAGCTGACACTCGATAGTTAAAAAGGCACATAACCACCATGGTGACCTATAATGAAATAAATACTCCTCTCCCAAGAACACTTATAAAATGAACATTTTATACTCATTAGGACATTTCTTGGCCTGCCTTCAAAATAACAAAGCCACTGGGCTTCTAAAGTTGAAATGTCATTACTGCACAAAAGTGGAGGAAGGAAGTGTATCCTTCCCATTGTTCCTATCAAGTTCCCATCAAGCCCCATGGGACCAAATATACCCACATCAAGTGCAGACAGACGAACGTGTTACTTGAGCCTCTTCCCCTGGAGCCAGGACTCATCCTCATGGGCTTCAGTCCCCAAATACACCAAAGGCCTCCTAATCACACAGCAGATATGATCAATGAAACAAATTTCAAAACAAGGCATGAGCCCAAAAGGCAGCTGTGGGAAACTGGATAATCAGATAGACACCCTACACAACAGAACTAACATTTCCTAAAATTACTAATTGGGTCAGATGTTTCCGAAGGTTCCTATGAAATGAGAAGAAAATTTCACATGTGAAAGTGGTAGAATTACACAGCATTCCTGTTTACCTTTGCAAAGAAGCTGGTTAAACAGTGAAGCGGTTCCACATTCTAGTTTGATTTCTATGCCACTTTCCCACAATTGTAGTTTCTATTTACACAGAACCCAGGACTAAAAAGAGTAGCAGCTCAACTATTTGATAACAAGATAAAACAATCATCTGTTTTAACTGGGGATGCCTGTATTTTATGCATAATTTAAAAATATTTTTCTGTCTCCATACTATGATCACTTTTTAGTATTATTGTTACGGTGTTATAAATAATACTATTTGATGGCCTATTATGTGCTAACTACTGGGGGCTACGAATTTTATATTTATTATCTAATCTAATCATCATAACCTTGAAATTCAGGTATTATCATTAGTCCCGTTTTACAGATGATAATAATGGTAGTTGAAGCTAATGCGTAATGCTTACACTGGGCCAGACAGACACTGTTCTAGGTGCCTCCTAAAACCCAAACAAGAAAAAAAACAAAAGCAAATTCCATGTTCTGAGTAATCAAGAAATCCAACCTAAAGGTTGTTTAATGAAAGAAGAGTTAATCCCTTGTCCTTTGAAGTTTAGGTTCAGGTGAGTCCCTGTTTAAAAAAAAAAAAAAAAAGACATTTCAAGCCTCCAAAAGCAGCTCTGTATGGCTCGCAAAGCCATTGGTCCCTGATCTGCATACTACACAGTCGATTGAGTACAGGTGTCTTAGGCAGTAACAGCCAAATGTCACAGACGAGAGGTAGGTTTACAATCACACCATTTCCTCAATATCACTTATATTCTCAACAAATAGAACTGTTACTCTAGTCTTACACATTTCAGACTTTTGGGGGGAAACTGACTAATTTATTTGTTTTTGTTTCTTTAAGAAAATGAATATTGAACTTTTAAAAGAAAAAGTCAGAACCCCTTCTACCCCATGGAAAATGGTTATTTCCATTGCAAGCAAGCGGAAAATAATGGGAGTTCAAAGGAGAATGTGAGGCAAAGAGGTAAGCTAAAATAACTTTGCTAAGAGCCAGGGACAGTGCATGCACCAGTAGTCCCCAGCTACTCAGAAGGCTGAGGTGTGAGGATGGCTTGAGGCCAGGAGTTCCAGACCAGCTTGGGCAACATAGTGAGATCCTGTCTGTACAAAATACTTGAGGCATGGTGTTACCGGCCTGTGGTCCTAACTACTTGGGAGGCTGGGATGGAAGGATCACTTGAGCCCAAGAGTTGTAGTTAGCCTAGGCGATATATAGCAAAACCCCCATCTCTTAAAGAAGTTTGCTAAGTTAAGGACAAAACTAGTTAACCATCTATGGGACAGTAAAACCATAACCTTTGGGTTAATCTTGCCTATTTGACAGAAATGATCTGTATCTTTTACAGGCAAAAATCTACAATTAATATGTAACTTCACAAAGCCTAAGCCCTAATAAATAATAAATAGTAAGCCAAAAAAATGTACACATTGCTCTAGGGTAGTTCTCAAACTAGCTGTCTCAGAAGCAGCTGGAGGACTTGTTAAAACAGACTGCTGGGCCCCACCTCTGATTTCCTACTTAGTAGGTCTTGGGTAGAGCCTGAGAAGTGGCATTTCTAACAAGTTCTTAAGTGATGCTTATGGTTTGGGGAGTAGACTTTGAGAACCATGTCCTAGAGAGTTTAATAATCCTTGGGTGAGCCTGTTAGATGATGCTTCAACAGGACAATAAAAGGGTATCTAGTCATCCTTCTGCCTTATTTCCAAGTTCTGGATGATTTTCCTTAACACTGAACCTCTCCAGACTTATTTTCTGTGCATACACTCTGTATATGAATATAAAGAACCCAGCTGGGCACGGTGGTTCACACCTATAATCCCAGCACTTTGGGAGGCTGAGACAGGTGGATCACCTGAGGTCAGGAGTTCAAGACCAGCCTGACCAACATGGAGAAACCCCATCTCTACTAAAAATACAAAATTACTGGGCGTGGTGGTGCATCACTGTAATCCCAGCTAATTGGGAGGCAGGGGCCGGGGGAATTGCTTGAACCCAGGAGGCGAAGGTTGCAAACTGAGATCATGCCACTGAACTCCAGCCTGGGCAACAAGAGTGAAATTCTATCTCAAAAAAAAAAAAAAAAGGCTGGGCACAGTGGCTCATGCCTGTAGTCCCAGTAGTTTGGGAAGCAAAATCATGCAGATCATGAGGTCAGGAGTTCAAAACCAGCCTGACCAACATGATAAAACCCTGTCTGTACTGAAAATACAAAAAAAAAAAAAATTAGCCAGGCATGGTGGTGTGCGCCTGCAGTCCCAGCTACTCAGGAGGCTGAGGCAGGAAAATTGCTTGAACCCGGGAGGCGGAGGTTGCAGTGAGCCGAGATCGCACCACTGCATTCCATCCAGGGCAAGAGAGGGAGACTCTGTCTCAAAAAAACAAACAAAACAAAAAAACTCTTCATTTCCCATAGTAGAATAAGGACACAATTCCAAAAATGGGTTTTATTTGACAAATGCCTTTATTAAAGGAGTGCTAAAAGGAACTACTTTAGGATTCCCCCCCTCCCCTTTTTATTGAGAAAGATCTCACTCTGTCACCCAGGCTGGAGTGCAGCAGCAGCACAATCATGGCTCACTGCAGGCTCAACCTCTCATACTCATGCCCTACTAACCCACCTCACTATCTCAGCCTCCCAAGAAGTGGGAACTACAGGCACATACCACCATGCCTGGCCAATTTTTTAAATTTTTTGTAGAGATGGGGTTTCCCTATGTTGCCCAAGCTGGTCTTGAACTCCTGGGCTCAAGCAATCTGCCTGCCTCAGCCTCCCAAAGTGCTGGTATTACAGGTGTGAGCCACCATGCCCCACCAGTATTTTTAATAAATGAACATTTCCTCGGTCATCATCTATAAGCCACTGAACCTATACTGAAAAATAAACAAAAGGAAGAAACTGATCGTACCAACTTCTGGCTTTCAGGAAAGTCACCTTAAGACTTTTTTTTTTTTTTTAACAGCAACGTAAGTGATTTGCTAATAGTTTTCTATGACTCTGAAAACAGAAAGGATCTAGGACTAGGAATAAGGGACTTGTAAGACGTAAAGTTTAAAAACAAGAAAACTATGACAAATTTAACCTTGGGACTCACTAGAATGCCAATGAAAGCAGAAGACAAGCACTAGGTGAAATGTCCACTTAGCTCATGGAATCCCACAATGTTTCGGTATGTGATTTATTTTTTAAAGGGGGCATGGTCTAAATTGCTTTTAAACTGGCAGTTAGGCCGGGTACGGTGGCTCACCCCTGTAATCTCAGCACTTTGGCAGGCTGAGGTGTGAGGATTACTTGAAGTCAGGAGTTCAAGACCAGTCTGACCAAAATGGCAAAACCTCACCTCTATTACAAAATACGAAAGTTAGCTAGGCGTGGTGGTGGGCGCCTGTGATCCCAGCTACTCAGGAGGCTGAGGCACAAGAATCCCTTGATCCTGGAAGGCAGAGGCTGTAGTGAGGAGAGATAGTGCCATTGCAGTCAAGCCCAGGCAACACACAGAGACTGTCAGGGAAAAAAAAAACCTTCCCTGGATGCTTTCAAATTATTATATTTATAGTAACCTGGAACATTAAAGAATGAAGAATGGGATGTAAAAAGTATGAGGTTCAGGTCATACTCCCCATCTTAACCACTCTGTGCAGACTCGCTTTCTCAGGGTGGGTCCAATATAAAGCATTTCCTTGCAACTCCAGCTCCATAGATCGTACACCATTCCTTCACATACAAAACTGGCCTTAGAAAAGAAACAACAACAAAAATAAAAAAAAAAATTAAAAAATAAAACAACTGGTCTTGACAGCAAAGTAAGGCCAGATAGACTAGATCAACTAAACCCTACTGCACAGATGCTGTGTTTTTTTTTGTTTTGTTTTGTGGTAGTGAGGAGCCTGAAACTGGTGTGTGTATGGGGGAGTGGGAAGGATGGATTTTGCTGATAAAACCAAAGCTGGGTCTTGGAAAGCTCTAATAAGCATCTGGCTTGGTAGCGCTGTCATCATGGTAGTGTGTGAAGTGACTGACCTCATAGCAAGAGTTCAGAGATCAAGAGGAAGAACAATTTGGACAGACATTTCCCAGAACATCATATTAGCATCCGAATCAGAAAACCTAGAGTGGCACTAAAGGATAGGCTGGCACATACAACTTAGAAGGAAACAAATCCCTTAAAGAAAAACTGCTGGAGTTGTAATTTAACTGCTTACTCTAAACTATTTTGATTTTTTTTTTGAGACAGTCTTGTTCTGTCCCCAGGCTGGAGTGCAGTGGCACGATCTCGGCTCACTGCAACCTCTGCTTCCCAAGTTCAAGTGATCTTCCTGCCTCAGCCTCCCAAGTAGGTGGGACTACAGGCAACACGCCCAGCTAATTTTTGTATTTTTAGTAGAGATGGGATTTCACCATATTGGCTAGGATGATCTTGATCTCCTGACCTCGTGATCTGCCCGTCTCAGCCTCCCAAAGTGCTGGGATTACAGGCATGAGCCACCACACCTGGCCTTAAACTATTTACAGGCAATACTAAGTAAGGGGAATACTAAGCATGTTTCATGGTTCTGTGGTTTGAGGAGGGAGGGATAAAAGGATAGCTGAGAAAAACACTTCAAAATTCTTGAGTATAAAATCTGTCTTGACTGTAAACACCTTGAAACAAGTATTCAGAATGTTCTCCAATTACTGCAGCCCAAGGACCACAGGGGTTCTATCTGGAACATATACCAGGTTCTCTTCTGGTAATAAAACTGTTTCCAACTTAACATCAGTGTGGCCAGTAATTACAAGTCTTTGGATTTATATAAATGCCCATGGAAGATACAAGAATATAATGCTTTCAAAAAAGAAATAGGAAGTAAATACAAAATTATAGAACCCCTAAACTCCGGCTTTCTAAGACTTGGTTCTACCCAGGAGCGTTCTTTAATTACAGTTCTAATCAGGGGTGTTGAAATTATCCATTTAGATTCTCCCCAATAAGATTATACTATCCCAGAAGACAGGGACTATTTCTTATGAAAATGTTTGCTGAATTGAAGCCATCCATGGAAGGCCAAATAGATATAGTTCCCTCATGAGCTGAGATCAGAATCAGCTCCAGTTAATCGTGACATACCCTAGAGCCCATCAGGCAACGTTTGGGTGGGGTTAAAGCCAAGTATTTCTTTGGGTCTTTCCCTCTACCCACTCCAATTTTTTTCTTCCTATTTTACTCTATTATACAAAGGCCAGAATAGTTGCTGACATCAGCAATCACTGGTATTAGACAAAACTTGTCTGGATCTCAGGATTCAGAGTATTCAAGGTATATACTTTTATACTTACAACTACATTCACGTCTTTAAAAACATCATTCTATGGGTCACTTATGAAATATCCAAATAACAGGAACTTTTGTAATGGGCATGAGAAACTTCTAGATCTTGTTTAACTATCTATGCTACAGGCACAAACTAAAGGAAATTCTCTGCTGGCACTGTTTTCACTTCTTAACAAAACCACATGAAAGACCACTTGGTGAAAACGGCAGCACTTATCAACTAAAAATTAACAACACAAAAACCAGTAATAGTTCTTGTTATCATTTCAAGTAGTCTTTTGATTCAACTTCTGAGGGAGAAGAGGTCCAAAGTCTCAGTTTAATCTGATAATTTGTTAATTGCAGTTCTAATGTGTGTGTGTGTGTGTGGCGGGGGGGTACTCTTTCAAGCAGGGTCTTTAAGAAGTAAAAACAATGTTACCAGTCATAAAGTTTCCCACCCAGTGTCAAAACAGAAAATCCTAGTCAGCCCTGAGAGTGAGCCAAACTGAAATATGGTAAAAATCTTACTTATTCTCTCTGGGAAGACCAAAAGTTACACAAATCTGTGCTATGAAAATTTTCCCACTCTTCTCTCTAGCAGGAGGTAAAGTGTATACACCTTTAAAAAAGCATGTATTCTGGAAAAACATCCCAGGATCTGAACTTTCTAAATAAACAGGTAGGATTCCTTCCTTTCCAAAGGGAACCTACTGGTTGTGCTCTCATTCACATGTCCTGAGACCATCACAGGTCCAGGTGGTCCCAGGACTGCAAAGGGCTACAGGAAACAAGAAAAAACCACCACCTCATGAAGATTAACCAGGAATATGTCCATGGGTCAGGGAGAAGCTAATATAATAAATAACTCAAAATATTCCCTTAAATAACATCTTACTCCTTCTTAATCGAGATTGACATTGGGTGCTTTGCTTCTACAAAAACAGAAAAATGTAGATGGATATTCAAATACTTCACAGTCATTTTAGTCACAAGCACATCATTTTAATAAGAACAATTTCCTTTAAAAATAAATCTGTAATAAATTATGAACAGAATCCTAATTCGTCAGTTTGCTATCCTTTCTCCACTTAGGTTGGATTTCCTTCATGAATCTATCCATCCATATAAATACTGCCTCTATAGATATTTTATATTTATTTTAAACAACCCCATCTATTCTCTTGCATCATTCAGTTATTTCTATTTTTTGTTTCTTTAAGATGAAGTATCGCTTCATCACCCAGGCTGGAATGCAGTGGTGCAACCTTGGTTCACTGCAACCTCCGCCTCCTGGGTTCAAGCAATTCTCTGGTCTCAGCCTCTGAGTAGCTGGGACTACAGACATGCACCACCAAGCCCAGCTAATTTTTGTATTTTTAGTAGAGATGGCATTTCACCATGTTGACTAGGCTGGCCTTGAACTCCTGACCTCCAGTGATCTGCCTGCCTCGGCCTCCCAAAGTGCTGGGATAACAGGCGTAAGCCACTGCAGCTGGCCTTCTATTTTCCTTTTACTTCTTTGTGTTTTCTTTTTTTTGAGACATCTGTGCAGTGGTGCGATCTCAGCTCACTGCAACCTCCACCTCCCAGGTTCAAACGATACTCCTGCCTCAGCCTCCTGCCAGGTGCATGGCACACCTGGCTAATTTTTGTATTTTTAAATTTTATTTTACCTGTACATGTCAAGAATTTTTTTTTTACCTATACATTAATTTTTGTGCTTTTTTAGTAGAGATGAGGTTTCACCATATTGGCCAGGCTGGTCTCAAACTCCTGACCTCATGATTTGCCCACCTCAGCCTCCCATGTGCTGGGATTACAGGCGTGAACCATTGCACCTGACCTTTTCTTCTTCTTCTTCTTTTTTTTTCAGAGAGTCTTTCTCTGTCGCCCAGGCTGGAGGCAGTGGTGCAATTTTGGCTCACTGCAACCTCTGCCTCCTCGGTTCAAGCAAGTCTCACGCCTGAGCCTCCCAAGTAGCTGGGACTACAGGCTTATGCTGTCACATCTGCCTTATTTTCTATATTCTTAGTAGAGATGTGGTTTTGCCAACGTTGGCCAGGCTGGTCTTGAACTCCTGACCTCAGGTGATCTGCCTGCCTCGGCCTCCCAAACTGCTGGGATTATAGGCACGAGCTACTGCACCCGGACTTTTTTTTTAAAAAAAAAACACAGTCTCACTCTGTTCTCTATGCCAGAATGCAGTGGCGCAATCTCAGTTCAAGCAATTCTTGTGAGTCAGCCTCCTGAGTAACTGGAATTACATATGTGCCACCACGTCTGGCTGGTTTTGTTTTGTTTTTTTGAAATGGAGTTTTACTCTTGTTGCCCAGGTGGAGTGCCATCTCAGCTCACTGCAATCATCTCCACCTCCTGGGTTCAAGCAATTCTCCTGCTGAGGCTCCTGAGTAGCTCGCATGCACCACCATGCCCGGCTAACTTTGTATATTTAGTAAAGATGGGTTTTCTCCATGTTGGTCAGCATGGTCTCAAACTCCTGACCTCAGGTGAAACCTACCCACTTCAGCCTCCCAAAATGTTGGGATTACAGGTGTGTGCCACCATGCCCAGCCTCTTTTTTGTATTTTTTTTTTTTTTTTTTTAGTAGAGACAGGGTTTCACCATAATGCCAGGCTGGTCTCGAACTCTTGGCTTCAAGTGATCCACCTGCCTCAGCCTCCCAAAGTGCTGGGATTACAGGCATGAGCTACCATGCCTGGCCTATTCTTTATGTTTTCCTTGTATTGACTGATTTTTTTTTTTTTGAGACGGAGTCTCGCTCTGTCACCAGGCTGGAGTGCAGTAGCTCTATCTCAGCTTACTGCAACCTCCAACTCCCTGATTCAAGCTATTCTCCTGCCTTAGCCTCCCGAGTAGCTGGGATTACAGGCATCTACCACCATGCCCAGCTAATTTTTGTGTTTTTAATACAAATGGGGTTTCACCATGTTGGCCAGGATGGTCTTGATCTTCTTACCTCGTGTTCTGCGAGTCTCAGCCTCCCAAAGTGCTGGGATTACAGGTGTGGGCCACTGCACCCAACCTATATTTTTATTTTTTGAGATAGAGTTTCACTCTATCGCCCAAGCTGGAGTGCAGTGGCTCAATCTCACTGCAAGCTCCATCTTCCAGGCTCAAGTGATCGTCCCACACCAGCCTTCCGAGTAGCTGGGACCACAGACATGCAAACCACAACTGGCTAATTTTTTGTATTTTTGGTAGATATGGGGTTTCACCATGTTGTGTAGGCTCATCTGGAACTCCTGAGCTCAAGTGATCTGCCTGCCTCAGGCACCCAAAGTGCTGAAATTACAGGCATGAGCCACCACGCCCAGCTTCTTCCTCTTCTTATAAAGCCACCAGTCCCCACTCCAGCAATAACCCATGAATCCAGGAATGAATTAATCCATTCTGTTCTCGTGATCCAAACACCTCTTAAAGCCCTCACCTCTCAATACTGCTACATTGGAGATTAACTTTCAACGCATTTCATAGGGAACAAATATTCAAACCACAGCAAACCCCATCACTTCCAGTATCTCTGCTAGATGAAGTTAGGCAGCATTAAATGGAGAAAACAATTTAATTAGACCTAACAACTAGATGCTTGAAGTGCTTAGGATTGGTGCATAAAAGAATTCCCAAGGGAAGACTGGGGATGAATTCGTAAATATAATCATGTCCCTTTCCTTTAATCATCCTTCACTTATTCATCAGAGGCTTCAAGATAAAATCCAGACCAGGTGCAGTGGCGCACACCTGTAATCCCAGTACTTGTGAGGTTGAGATGGGAAGATTACTTGAGGCCAGGAGTTCAAGACCAGCCTGAGCAATATAGCAAGACTGTCTCTCTTAAAAAATAAATAAATAAAGTTCAAATCTCTTACTTATAATGAGATATACATACATACATATATGTGTGTGTATATATATAATTCCATTCTATGAGCAACTACTATGTGCCAGGTACTAGTCAGCAGTGAATAAAACAGACAAAAAGCCCTCAGCCCCAGGAAGCGTACAGCTTGCTGAAAGGAAGAAAGACAGTGTGTTGTATGGTGACAAGTGCCGAGGGGAAAAAAAAACAGGAGGAAAAGGAATCAGGGGAGTTGTCCTTTCAAACAGTGTAGTTAGAGAATGCCTCACAGAGGGAGACATATGAATAAAGACCTGTGGAGCAGGTGACGGAGAGAGTTACAGGGACATGCAGGAATAGTAAGAGCAGAGGCCCAGGTGTGAGGTTAATACAACGGAGCACGAATGCAGCAGGGCAATGAGGTCAGAGAGATGAGGGGACAGGATGATTGTGCAGGACCTTGTTTGGCCATACTTTGATCCCTAACTACCATGTGTGTGCGTGCGTGTGTGTGTGTGTGTGTGTGCGCGCGTGTGTGAGAGAGAGAGACAGAGAGAGAGACAGAGACAGAGACAGAGACAGTAAGACTTGCCCAGGCTGGAGTGCAATAGTATGATCTCAGCTCAATGATCCCTAACTCGTGTGTGTGTGTGTGTGTGTGTGTGTGATCATACCATCAATACCATCATCAGTGGTATGATCTCAGCTCACTGCAACCTTCGCCTCCTGGGTTCAAGCTATTCTCCTGCCTCAGCCTCCCAAGTAGCTGGGATTACAGGTGCACACCACCATACCTGGCTAATTTTTGCATTTTTAGTAGAGATGGGGTTTCAGCATGTTAGGCCGGTTTTGAACTCCTGACCTCAGGTGATCTGCCCGCCTTGGCCTCCCAAAGTGCTGGGATTACAGGCGTGAGCAACCATGCCCATCAAGTCACTGTAACTCTCTAGTAGCTAATGGCTTGGCTGAAGAAGAAGGGGTATGAACAGAGGTAGAGAGGTGGGGAGAGGGGAAGATTATGCAAGATCTTATCAGTCACACTTTGATCCCTAGCTACCTTTCCTATCCCTGAGACCCAAGGTGGCAGCAAGCAGGATACTTTGGGTAAAAGGACCTGTTAGTCATCAAAATTTGTGTACATAAAAATCCGTAGCTTTTCCTCATGTTATAACTTCTAGCCTTTACATGAACGATGACTAGCATTTGGTGAATTCTTAGGAATATTTCGTTTTCATGAAAATATCAACCAGGGTTCCCAGAACATGGCAACTGCAAAAATAATCCTGTTGAATGGATTAAAGTTCTTGTCTAGATTCTTTTTGTTTCTTTCAGATTCCCTAGAGACAAGGTCAGTTTGCCTGACCCCTCATCCAAAGAACCCTGATAACTTACTCCTTGATCCTGAAAGATTAGCTTCTCCTGGTAAAAAACAAACAAACAAACAAACAAACAAAAAAACCTTACTCCTTAGCTAGTATCTCAGTATCTAAAAAGATGTCAGCTTCATCCTCAGTTCCCAGAAACTCTCTCCAAATGAGTACTGTATTGTATGTAATATGAACAAAAACTATGAAAGGTAGGTGTTACCAACTCTACCCTAAAGGTAAGGCAACTGGGGTTAAACAACCTGTAACCAGCAAGTGACAGAGCTTAAATGAAAAGTATGCCTGCCTGACACAAAAACCATCATTTTTATGGTATTACTAACTAGCCTCCCTCCAACATCTTCCTCACATTACTTTAGGTTACGTGCCCCTAATAATGAATTGTACCATTTATTATTAGCCAGTGGTCTTTCCTCCCCAAACCTCTGTAATACTTGGTTATATCATCAGATCTTTCTAGATGGAGCAGGACTAAGGAAATGGGTCTCTGGGATGCTTACCATGTCTACAATATGTCTTAAAGTTGACAAGCAGGAAATGAGTGCATATATCCACTGAAACGTACAAACAATTTTGATGGCAGCTACATTCAAAGTAGAAACAACCCAAGTATCCATTAACAGGAGAACAAGTTTGAAAAAAAAAAAAGGTGGGGGCCAGGCATGGTGGCTCATGCCTGCAATCTTAGCACTTTGGAGGCTGAGGTGGGCAGATCTCTTGAGCCCAGGAGTGCAAGACCAGCCTGAGCAACATGATATAAAACCTGTCTCAACAAAAAAATACAAAAATTAACCAGGTGTGGTGGTGGCACGCCTGTAGTCCTAGCTACTTGTGAGGCTGAGGTGGGAGGATCCCTTGAGCCCAGGAGGTAGAGGTGAAGTGAGCCAAGATTGTGCCACTGCACACTCCAGCCTAGGCAACAGAGCAAGACTCTGTCTCAAAAAAGAAAAAAAGTGGCCAGTTGCAGTGGCCCACACCTGTAATCCCAGCATTTTGGGAGGCTGAGGTGGGCGGACCACGAGGTCAAGAGATCAAGACCATCCTGGCCAACATGGGGAAGCCGTGTCTCTACTTAAAAAAAAAATTTTAAATTAGCTGGGTGTGGTGGTGCATGCCAGCTACTTGGGAGGCTGAGGCAGGAGAACTGTTTGAACCTGGGAGAAGGAGGTTGCAGTGAGCCCAGATCGTGCCATTGCCCTCCAGCCTGGGCAACAAGAGCAAAACTCTGTCTCAAAAAATAAAAAGAAAGAAAAGAAAAAAGTGGTATATTCATATTATGAAACACTCCATGGTAAGGGAAAGGAATAAACTACTGACAGATGCAACCACGTAGATTAATCTCAAAAACATGTTCAAAGAAAGAGGCCAGACACGAAATGCTACCTACTGCAGACTTCCATTTATACGAAGTTCAAGAACACGGAACTACACTTTGGGAGTCTGAGGCAGGAGGATTGCTTGAAGCCAGTCGTTCAAGACCAGCCTGGGAGGCATAGCAATACCCAATCTCTACAAAAACTAAATTAGTCAGGCACGGTGGAATGCATCTGTAGTTCCAGCTACTTGGGAGGCTGAGGCAGGAGGATTGCTTGAGCCCAAGAGCTGAAGCTGCAGTGAGCTATGATGATCATGCCATTACACTGGGTGACAGAATGAAATTTTGTCTCAAAAAAAAAAAAAAGAACAGAACAATGCCATAATGTTAGAAGTCAGAATAGTGGCTGAACTCTATGGGGGTGGTACAAACAGGGAAGGGGCATGAGGGAGCTAAAACTAAATTAGTCAGGCATCTGTAGTCCCAGCTACTTGGGAGGCTGAGGTGGGAGGATTACTTGTCTCGAAAAAACCTTGTCACACAGGAAAGGGGCATGAGGGAGCTTTTTTGAGGTGAAGAAAGTTTTCATATCTTGATCTAGGTAATGATTGTGTGACTGTATACACATGATCTGTTGCCCAGGCTGGAGTGCAATGGTATGATCTCAGCTCAATGATCCCTAACTACCGTGTGGGTGTGTGTGTGGGTGTGTGTGTGTGTGGTGCACTTAAGATTTGTTCATTTTACTATAAGTAATATATGTTCCCCCATACAAATTATGTCTTAATATTGTTTTAAAAAAAAAAGAATAGCTAATGTAAAAGCTGGTAATTAACTGTAAACCATGTTCGTACTCGTGTCACATGGCACCATCAACTACTTCAGCCAGTAAACAGAAATACCAGCAGTCCCCTATTAGAATTAAAATTCACTGTGAGGTCTTTATCACATAAAAGACCCACTCATCACATAAAATGCAACTACCCTGTAACTCACATATATCAATTAAACAGCAAGAAACATTTTGAGATTTGGCAGTGGGATTTCAGA